AAATAAAAGCAGGTCCTCAAACATAATATCGATAAAAAAATAGTATATAATTAATTCCCTAAAGAACGAAACAACTACACATATGGCCAACAAACTTCTCATTAAGCTTCAACAACAGGCAGAAGCAGTTATGAACGCCCCTGGTAAACACTGTTAATACTTGTGACTCGTGCCTGACTTTATGAAGGGATACCTGATGAACTGACTGACCCTTGGTAAGTTAAATAATTCCCAATCAAGTTCTAGAAAGACGACCCTGAAATTTTTTTACTGCACATCTCCCCAACAGGTACCACCAAGGTGTAAACTTAATCATCAGGTGCAATAAGCTGGAGTGGTTAATCTTCATGTGATACGATACACCCACTCTATCATTTTAATTTCCTCATATAATAATATTTTAAAGGGTAACAAAGCTATAATACTGTAGTACTTTTCATAATTTCCCATCGTATAATACAATAATACTACCGAGGGAGGAACCTCACTCTCAGACACGGGGAGCCACCTGAAGATCAGACACTCCACCTTATTCTACGTAATGATTAAACACCCTGGCATTACCTGGGTTAGATTAGATTAGTGGTAGTTGGGTTGGATGTGGCACAATTAGGATAAGTTATGATAGTGTTAGGGAGGCTACTCTTCAGGTGAAATGAGGTGGGACCAATTTTCAGGTGGCCTCATTTGTGCCTGGTAGCGACACAACTCTCTTAATATAATATGAGGTGAGAGAGGAAGTGAAATCTCATACAATTCAATAAACAGGTTGAACATAGCAGCCCCCCAGTCTCCTGTCACCCTGGGAATAACTTGGCCTGAAATTATCAAAAGTAATGGAGGAGAAATTCTGAAGGTCGAACTCGACGTAACTCCTAAGCCTTGTTGAGTTTACATCCATGTACATGTCAAGCTTCAGCCAATTCCATTTCTATCGAGTTATCACGTTCAGTTGTGCACAGAAACACACACACACCGAGGGATCACCTGAAGATTAGCCCTTAGCCTATTTCACCGTAAGATTAGCCACCCTAACATTAACCTATCCCCAAAGTAACGTTAAGGTGGATATCCAATAGGTAACAGGCTGGGGGCCTAATCTTCAGTTGATCCCACAGAAGGCGAGAATTTCCAAGGCCACCATCAGAGGCGACGGGACTAAAAAAAATCCTCTTGACACCCGAGCCATTTATTTAAACAGGATAACTTTCACAAAAATGAAAACGGTTGGAACTATATATACCTTTATAAAAATATTCAGAGTATCTCTTAGTGTTTTCCCATTTTCTATGCCCAGTCGAGCGCAACAGCCTCAGATTCCTGGATCTGGATTCTCAAAGATTCACAAGTTGATTTTCTCCCCATGAGCGTAACTCTAAGAACGCCTCTACCTTACACACTCAACCTACGGCACAAATATGACGAATCTGGTAAAGATTAGGCACCCCCAGCTTATATCACCTGATGATTATACACCATACTGCTAACCTACCCTTATATCCAAAACTGCACCTAAAAACGCACGGGGAGACTCTTTCTTATATAAGGAGCGTTTTCCAGTTACAGGAAAACTTTAGCATTTGAATTTTTGAGACGGGTTACAGGTCCCCCCTTCAATACTACACAAGTGGCAAGAGCGGCTAATATTTCTAGCCCGGGCGTAAAAGTGGTTCCAACCATGTAATTGGAATCATTTTCCTCGCTCCAAAAAATCCCAACCACACCACTCATTCTATATTTTTCTTTTACGAGGACGTTTGAAGCAAAGCAAAGTGTTCATTTCTGCTTTTGTGTGCTGATATCGTGAAGCTGTAATGTCGCAGTAGCGCTACTTGCCGGGGTGGGTGAGGGCTGAGTAGGTGGGGTGAAGGATGCTGTGGAGGGGTGAGGGGTGGGGTGGCGCTACTTGTCGGGGTGGGTGAGGGCTGGAGCAGGTGGGGGTGAAGGATGCTGTGGGAGGGGTGGGTGGCTACTTGTAGGGGTGGGTGACGGCTGGGGTAGGGAGGGGTGAGGGCTGCTGCTGTGGGAGGGTGGGGGGGCTGCTGTGGGAGGATTGAGGGATAGGGTGGCGCTCTTGCCGGGGTGGGAGGGATGAGGGCTGGCGCTACTTGCCGGGGTGGAGGGATGAGGCTGGCGCTACTTGCCGGGGAGGTGAGGGCTGACGCTACTGCCGGGGTGGGTGAGGGAGGGTGTGGGTGAGGGTTGCTATGTGAGGGGTGAGGGCTGACGCTACTTGCCGGGGTGGAGGGGTGAGGGCTGACGTACTTGCCGGGTGAGGGCTGACGCTACTTGCCGGGGTGGGAGGGGTGACGCTACTTGCCGGGGTGGGAGGGGTGAGGGCTGACGCTACTTGCCGGGGTGGGTGAGGGTGGGGTAAGGCTGGAGGTGGAGGAGGGCTGCTGTGCGTGAGTGACGGCTGGGGTGAGGGCTGGGGAGGTGCTGTGGGTAATTGACGGCTGGGTGTAAGGGTTACTGTGGGAGTGGGGTGAGGGCTGTTGGGGTGAGGAGGGCTGTTGGTGGTGAGGAGGGCTGTTGGGGTTGAATGAGGGCTGCTGGGGTTGAGTGAGGGCTGCTGGGGTGAGTGAGGGCTGCTAGGGGAGTGAGGGCTGCTGGGGTGAGTAAGAGTTGGGGGGTGAGGTAGAGCTGCTGTGGATGAGTGACGGCTGGGGTGGGGTGAGGGCTGCTGGGGGTGGGTGAGGGCTACTGTGTGGGGTGAGGACTGCTGGGGGTAGGTGAGGGCTGCTGAGGGCGAGGAGGCTGCTGTAGTGGGTGAGGGTCACTAAGGGTTGCTGGAGGTGGGGTGAGTGCTACTGGGGTGAGTGAGGGTTGTTAGGGGCAGGTGAGGGCTGTTGGGTACACTGGGGGCTACTGTGTGGGTGAAGGCTGCTGGGTGGGTGGAGGGCTTCTGTGCTGGGGTGTGGGTGAGGGCTCTGTGCTGGGGTGTGGGTGAGGTCTGCGGGGTGTGGGTGAGGGCTCGCTGGGTGTGGGTGAGGGCTTGTGTGGGGTGTGGGTGAGGCTTGTGCTGGGGTGTGGGTGAGGGCCTGTGCTGGGGTGTGGGTGAGGGCTTCTGTGCTGGGGTGTGGGTGAGGGCTGCTGTGCTGGGGTGTGGGTGAGGGCTTCGTGCTGGGGTGTGGGTGAGGGCTTCTGCTGGGGTGTGGGTGAGGGCTCTGTGCTGGGGTGTGGGTGAGGCTTCTGTGCTGGGGTGTGGGTGAGGCTTGTGCTGGGGGTGGAGGGCTCGCTGGGGTGTGTGAGCCCGAGGGCTTTGTGCTGGGGTGTGGGTGAGGGCTTCGGCACGGGGTGGGTGAGGGCTTCTGTGCTGGGGTGTGGGTGAGGGCTTCTGTGTTGGGGTGTGGGTGAGGGCTCTGTGCTGGGGTGTGGGTGAGGGCTTCTGTGCTGGGGTACCCAAGGAGGGCTCTGTGCTGGGGTGTGAGGGCTCTGGCTGGGGTGTGGGGGAGGGCCCTGTGCTGGGGTGTGGGTGGAGGCTCTGTGCTGGGGTGTGGGTGAGGGCTCTGTGCTGGGGTGTGGGTGAGGGCTTGGCTGGGGGGTGGGTGAGGGCTTGTGCTGGGGTGTGGTGAGGGCTTCTGTGCTGGGGTGTGGGTGACGGGGTGGGTGAGGCTTCTGTGCTGGGGTGTGGGTGAGGTTTGTGCTGGGGTGTGGGTGAGGGCTTCGTGCTGGGGTGTGGGTGAGGGCTTCTGTGTGGGGTGGGTGAGGCTTCTGTGCTGGGGTCCCGGTGAGGGCTTCTGTGCTGGGGTGTGGGTGAGGGCTCTGTGCTGGGGTGTGGGCAGGGCTTCTGTGCTGGGGTGTGGGTGAGGGCTTCTGTGCTGGGGTGTGGGTGAGGCTTCTGTGCTGGGGTGTGTGAGGGCTTCAGCTGGGGTGTGGGTGAGGCTCTGTGCTGGGTGTGGGTGAGGCTCCTGTGCTGGGGTGTGGGTGAGGGCTTCTGTGCTGGGGTGGGTGAGCCTGCTGGAGGCTTCGTGCTGGGGTGTGGGTGAGGCTTCTGTGCTGGGGGTGTGGGGGGAGGGCTTCTGTGCTGGGGTGTGGGTGAGGGCTTGTGCTGGGGTGTGGGTGAGGGCTTCTGTGCTGGGGTGTAGACTATGAAGAACTCCCAAACAAAAATTAAAACTCAACAGCAGGTGAACTAGTGACGTCTAAAGGCATCACAATACAGTAATTTTTGTATTTGATATTAGTACAGGTAACATGAATGACTCTAGACTCCTAGAAATTTACAGAGCATTGATGTGATGAATTGTGAAGGTTAAGGATCACTTTGTATTCTTTATTAGCAAGTTTAGGTACAGTACTGTGCAAGTATGTAGGGATCTTTGTTTTCTTATCTTACCTCATTCTTGTAACTGTCCTTATTCATCTTTAATTACTCTCTATATCATTTGTCTCCTCTGGAAGTTTTTGTAGCCCTTGGTCCTCCCCACGCATTCACCCCCAGCAGTACGTACACTCACTGTAGTCCAACTTTTCCTCAGCTACCACCTTAACCCACTTTGCCATTTATAACCGATACACTTCTCACCCGTGTCCAATTCAGTGCTCACAATTATCATTCCAATGCCCGTTTCCTAATGATAAAATGGGTTGCTTAATACTGTACTTACCAAATCTTCATATATGTGACTAATGAGATGGATCTCCTTGCTTCTTACTATGCAATTTGAATTTTTACTGCACAGTTTATGTCTTGACAGGATAATGTTAATTACTGTACTATTCACTTCATGGCACTGCTGCCTTCACACCTGAGAAAAGAATTATTACTATTCATTCACGATATACTGAAAGATAGCATGATAAAATATACAACAATATAGTAGTGTGTATATCACAAAGATACAGTATCATTTATCATCACCCTTATCAAACCATTTTTGTCAAGTAGTAAGCCATCAATATAATTACTATACAGTATTGGTTAGTGTCCACAGAACTTTGGACTGATCACAGTTATACAGTACATCCGTCCTTTCTATAAAGTTATTGATTGAACATTTTAAGGAATGGAACTTTATTTAAGTACAAAAAGTACATTTATCTCCCCATCAAAATATAAAAAATAACAAAATTTTGTACATTTTTCAAAACAATGCAAAATGCTTCAGTTCTCACATCAGAAAAGAAGCAGATATCTGTTTTCACATCTGTAATTAACTTCTAGATATACAGGAAACAGTACACATGTTTGTAGTCAACAATGGAATGTAAAAACTCTTGTGGGAGAAACAGAGAAAGTGGGTCAATAAGAGTCTTCAAAAGAAATACTAAAACAAAAAAGAGTATATTCTGTAGTAGTGACTCGAGTCAATGTTGTGTTGTTGATGTATGGCAGACAACCAAGAACTCCAGTGTTGGTTGTTAAACATTTTTTTTTTATTACTACACACTGTAGTATTTTTTTACTCTTGCCTGCATATGCCTTCTCTGAATTTAATATTTTAAAACATTGTGACACTTGTAACTAAAGATAAACAGCAGCCTTTGGGTCATAAGATTTTAAAGTCTCTATAAAATAGATATGATCATTGGGATTTAGTACTGTTGCCCATAAAACCTCACTTTATACTTAAATCTATTGATAATAAAGGCAGTGATGTATTATTCATTATAATATGAACTATTAGCACAATAGAGAGACTAAAAGCCATACAGATCTAATGTACAGTGGAATGGAATTGTGTGGGAAGAATGTAATGATAATGAGGAAATGAACGAGATGAATGTCACGTCATGAGGGGACTACGTATGCGAGAGGCATATCATTAAACTAGGACAAGTAAAAGAAGTGTCATGATGTGGGAAAAATGAGTAAAGGGGGTAAGAGTTTTGGGTGCGAGTAGGACATCATGATGAGTTGGAGTGGTGTTGTGGTGAGGATATGCAGGAGTGGCTCCAGGATTTTATGGGGGCACGGATTTGGGTGAATATAAATAAAATCACAGGATAAAAGTCACATTTTTGGCAAGGATAAAATTCACATTTTTGGCGAAGAAAAGAGTCGCATTCCATTTAAATATCATTAATAAGTAGAGTAACTAAACTAAAAATATTCTAAGGTGTTAATTGGCAATACTGGACATGACTTCTACAGATTGACAACACAATATATCATGGGATTATAAGTACAATACTTTATATATTAAAAAAAAAACTACATCTTATTTAAACTACCTTAAAAGAAAAGGAACTGCAACAAATAAGAAAAACTGTGACTTCCAACTAATCAGTGTACATGTATATACATGTGTGTGTGTGTGTGTGTGTGTGTGTGTGTGTGTGTGTGTGTGTGTGTGTGTGTGTGTGTGCATGAGTGTATTTTCAGCTTTTGTCATGCCGGACACAAATATAAAATTTCTGGCTACACGCAACTGGCATTATGAGGGTTGCAGGCCTGTCCTGTATAATCAATACAGAAGCTCTCTGATTAAAAACCTACAAACTCTCCAGTTTCAAAAGGATAAAATTTACAAGAGGCAGTACTGTATAACCCTGACACACCAAAGATAAAGTAAGATGTTCTCCTTCATGATCTGTTGTAATAGTGCTACTTTATCGAGAACTTCTGTGGAGAGGTGGTAATTCTCTGCCATATACAGGTGTGCCCTCTCATGATCCTTTGCCACATACAGGTGTGCCCTCTCGTGATCCTTTGCCATATAAAGGTGTGCCCTCTCGTGATCCTTTGCCATATAAAGGTGTGCCCTCTTGTGATCCTTTGCCATATACAGGAGTGCCCTCTCGTGATCCTTTGCCATATACAGGAGTGCCCTCTCGTGATCCTTTGCCATATACAGGAGTGCCCTCTCGTGATCCTTTGCCATATACAGGAGTGCCCTCTCGTAATCTTCTGCCATATAAAGGTGTGACCTCTCGTGATCCTCTGCTATAGAAAGGTGTGCCCTCTCGTGAATTTCCCTCATGTCGATAGCAGAATAAATTTTCCCCTAGTGCAAAGTTTCGACACAACTGTCCATTTTTGCACAATGAAGAACAAAGCTTTCTAGGAGTCATGGTCCTGGATGAAGTAACACTGAAAAAGAGAGCCATATATATTCAGTGAAGTAAATTTGCAAATTGCCAACTTTAGAGTGACCACATACACATTACAGTTACCACATTTTACAGCATATAAGATGCACTTTTTTTTTAAAAAGGCTAAAAAAAAGTTAGCCTGCATCCTATTTTGTGAAGTTGCGGTCTCCTGTAAGGAATGAATCCCCCAGTTGCTGTCTCCAGTAGGCTAAATTCTAATTGACCCAACTCCAGAATTAAAAATAAGTTATTGTTACTTAAACAAATTATTATTATTATTAATTAATTAAAAATTTAAATAAAAGCTAGATGTATAACTACTGCACTGATGCTGATAACCTGAGACGATTAATATCTGTAATGGGCAGACACCCAACTCTTCAGAGGTAGCTAAGCAGTAACCATTTCTGAACTCTTACAAGCATTACAATTGATTAACACCATACCTTCAACATTTATTCTTAAATATACAAATAAAGATTTACAGAAAACTTTCTTTTCACATTTGCCTCTGTTAAGTTCACTGGCGGCATTGTAGCCAAGTCAAGTTTGACCCGTCACTGTAACCACCAGGCTACTAGGCCCCAAGCTGTGAGGTGTTATGGTTGTTTTTCATCTCATATTTTTTTGAAAATTCCAGCTTTAGGAACGATTTTCTGGGAAAATTTCAATTCCAGCTATTGGAGAGTTCCGAGTTCGAGGGATTCTGGCTAACGGAGATATTACTGTAGTATACAGTAGGAAAACAATGGTTAATATGAAAATGTAGTCATTCTATGTCTTTTGGAAATACAAGAGAACAACAACTTCAAGGAAGAGAAATGTGTACTGGTAGTTGCTTATCTACATAACCAACACCAAGACAATCTGAAACATAAGTCATGTTTGCCTGAACATACTCCTTATAGATCTAAACACACTGATGGAGTTTTCCTGTTCACAGATTACCATGATGTGAATCTCATGAACTTTTAGCTTCAGACATATCTGTGAAACAGCAAACTCATTTACCTTCGTGACTGTGAAAACAAACTCCTACAGAACAAACGTACACAGTCACAGCAGCCTTTCTTTGAAATATATATAAACTACAGCGGTATATTTCATCTAGGCAAGTTGTGAATACTGACAGATTATCATAATTATATCCCCTCATTCCTTTTTGTAAGTGCCTTCATGATACTTCCCAGGAACTGTCTCACACAGAGAAGATTTTACACAGCAATTAGTTTTCATTTCTGATAAAAGCACAACTTATACCAATATAAATCACTGGCAGACATTACAGAAAGGTGTATCACTGCTTCTAACTAACATCTCTGCACCACACTTTCATTTCAGAATTTTTCATTAAACTGTAATACAAAAACTTTAATTTAATACAGAATTAAAGTGTCATGATTATGGTATCTGGAGGATCAAAACAGAGGCATCGTGTCTTATTCCTACAAATATGTAATCTAATGTAGCTACTGTATAAAGAAAAAAAATACAACATACAGGTAGCATATATGAAAGAATAAAATAAACTAAGCCGAGAATCAATGGATACTCCTTCCACAAGATGGGGTAATATATTAGAAGGTGAATGTGCCAGTTTGAACTTTGTACAGAGTAATATCATATGCTAACAGCTCATTTATGATATACAACAGCAACATTAGGACAAATTTATGATATTCTTCCAGTCACCCAAATATAATAAAGCTATTTATTACTTTAATCTAATTAGTTTATCTACGTTATGCAAATTCATCCCATACCTGCTTGAAGCTGGAGGCTCTTTGACCGGGCTGCTGCTTGCTAGAACTTTACCATCAAGAGAAAGATTATGGTGCATCAGTGATGATGCAGGTCTGTGCACCTGGTCAAGCAGGTGATGCTGTACACTGGACGCAACCTGACAACAAGTAAAGTGAACCCTTGAAATCACGACTCTTATGAATACGTCCTACTTTTCTAAGTCATGAATATTTTACATTTCCATCACCACAGGCCTGACTAACTAATACAGACACCCCACCAATTAGGTACAGTACAGTTGCCAACAAAAGTTCTCCCACAGCCGTGCTACACAGGGCTGTGGGAGGAGTTTTGCTGGCACCTGTACATGGTCATTGTTTTTCCTGCAAAAGTCACAACAGTCAAGATTTTTGCAGATGGTGAAAATAACTTAACTAACAGTCAGGGCTTTTACACTTTTGTGTGAGACAGCCGTGATTACCTGATGACAACTCTCCATACTGCATGATTTCTTACAGTCTCTCTTGTCAGGTCCTTTACACGGTCATTTCTTACAGCCTCTCTCCAGGTCCATGTCATTCCTGGCCTACCTCTGCCTCTCTTCCCCTTCCCATTTAAGCTCATGCACATCTTGACTCAATTTGTTTCCTCCATTCTCTTCACATACCCAAACCATATCAGCCTGCCTCTAAGCATGATTTTGCCAATACAGTCCATACTCTCAATACTCAGTCACCTGCTTGGCTCTGAACAAGGCCTCCTATCTTTCAGTGGTACTGGATCTGCCCAAACGTAGCTCAGTCTGGAAGACTTGGGGTGGTCATGTCATGGTATACTCACCGCCCAGGGTTGCCAACTCGTACAAATTAAATGTCAGTTTGTCAAGTGTAATTTGCCATCTGTGGCTTCCACAAACTAGTACAGTAACACTTACAACAACTAATGGGTCCCAACAGCATTGGCAGCCCTATTGGTCTTGGAAGAAAGGAATAAGGAACTGATGTTTATTGTCAATACTTGATGTGTGAGGGGTAACATCATAAAGCTAAGATCAGCTGAGGTAATGCATAGTAACTGAGGGACCATGTCAATCTGGGTCAAGTATGTTAAGTATAACCCTTATCAAATATAACTGCATGTATGAAAGCCTTTATTTATAAATAAGTTCTTATATGCTTCTGATACATTTTCTAAACTAAGATTCTCTTTACCCATATTCATAAAAGAGGATGCCTCAATAAAGTAAGCACTTGGCCTGAGTCCCATGTGTCCTGATCATTGAAAATCCACAGTACTGTACATGGTAGTCATGTTTTTGCAACAGTAGCTCCCTATTTATCCAAGACATACATTATTCCATTTTAGTATATCAGCTGGAATACACACATCAAACCTCATCACATTAAAATACAAGAACTGAAAAAAAATGGCATATTCCTTGGTTCATTTTATCAATAACTGGAAACATGATCTTGACAAGTAACTCATAGCACAGTCCAGCCTCTGTATGTGAGGTATGGTCATGATAACAAATAAAACTTTACAAAATATCTCAAAGTTACCTTGTCTGTTGACTCAGAACAGCTCAAGAGATTAGTTGCACTACTCTGAAGATTGGTAACTTTGCTCTCCAGAACTTCATCCCCATGTAACTTACTTGAAGAGTTAAATATGCTTGCTCTACGCATGATCCTGGAAAGAAAACAAATACAGTACATAAATAAACAAGAACAGTGGATGCAATGCCCACCACTTGTCCTTAAGGCATTTTCCAGGACACCCTAATTTACTTTGCTGTGAATGGGTACCTAACCTTGTTATCAGGGTGAGTGAAGGCAGTCAAGTGCATTGTTGGACAAACTTCTCTTGTGTGTCCACACTACCCTTGAACTTCAAGGCTGTAGGACCCACTTTCATGTATGCAATGTATAATTCCTGAAATCTAAGTCACTGAGGTACAGTTTTTTTTTTTTTGGTATAGAGAGGCTTTTGGCAGTTGAGTTATATACTGTAAACTGATTACCCTTTAACTACTTTGCGCAAATAAAAAAAGAAACTATGAATTCCAATGCACTCTCTCACTACCCATCTCTTTTTCTATCAAACTACAATAAAACTCCTGAGTTCTGGAATAATAAAGCCACAGAGATGTCGTTACTTGGGCAGGATCCATTATTGGGACGTGCTTATCAGCAACAACGACACACCCGTTCAAAACAACAACCAACAAATTATACATTAAACTCATAATAAATTACTTCAAGTTTAATAATCATACTGTACTTAAGATATACTTTCAATAAATTTAAAGTTAATGGATTCTAGATCTAAAAGCTTCCCAGTCCCAACATACATATGTACGGTATGTGGCATGGATGGCCTCATGTAGTGTGAGATTAAGTTGGAGTATAGAATACAGTATACAGTACTATATACCTCTGGCAATGAAGTGGATATGTTCACAAAATCCACTTTTGTTTTTAGAAACTTCGTTATCATAGGCTGTATGTACCAATCGTAAACTGTCATGTTCAATGCATCATACCAAGGTTTCCTTAAAGTCTGTGCTGACATTGCAGACTCGGCATTCTTTTTAAAGACACCAGGCTCCAGAGATAAGGGCCCTTGATAATATCATGCACAGTAATGATATCAAACACAATTGTACGTTGGCAATTCCAAATTTCTGCATGATCTCGAGAACAAACCATTTATTATTGATCTTGACTAGCACTTCAACTTCATCTTTCACAGTAGGTACGTTTTGCTCTTTGGGGCCTTCCCCGAACCTGCACGCACCTGCTTGGGCATTGTTCTCCTAATGGGTGTTATTTATATCATTATATCACGAGAGGACAGGCATGTCTGCACCGAATGATTGCTACAAGTTAACCGAGTGTGGTGCAGCTGTGTTGTTGCGATGCAAGCTGGCAGGACCACATGGTCCACAGCAGTAACAAAAGACCCACAAGATATGCAAGATATTTTGTCAAATTTTAATATTTTTTCCAAGATTCATGTTGTTATTGGAATGTGTCATTACTCAGGAGTCCGGTACAGTAGTTAGGGGTTTAGGAGTCCGGTACAGTAGTTAGGGGTTTAGGAGTCCGGTACAGTAGTTAGGGGTTTAGGAGTCCGGTACAGTAGTTAGGGGTTTAGGAGTCCGGTACAGTAGTTAGGGGTTTAGGAGTCCGGTACAGTAGTTAGGGGTTTAGGAGTCCGGTACAGTAGTTAGGGGTTTAGGAGTCCGGTACAGTAGTTAGGGGTTTAGGAGTCCGGTACAGTAGTTAGGGGTTTAGGAGTCCGGTACAGTAGTTAGGGGTTTAGGAGTCCAGTACAGTAGTTAGGGGTTTAGGAGTCCAGTACAGTAGTTAGGAGTTTCTATATTTGAAAAGTTTATTCATTGTAATCCACAATCAGGTTACCTTTCTAATATCACAACTAATTTACATCACAATCATAATTTCAACATTAAAACTAAAGCTAAAGTGCTTGTATCTTTTTCCAAGGAATTATACATGTTGAGGTAGGTGAAGTTTTTCTTTTATGAACTAGAAACTTAGAATATGTAAAAAGATATATGCTTAGAATGTGTGGCACTAATGAAGGGCTTAAAAAGTTTCATAATGTGTAGAAATAATGGATTTAAGAAGTGAGGAAGTACAGTAACAGATTTATGATTTGTGGATATACAGTACAGTATTGAGACTTTAGGCCTTGGGAAACAATTGGATTAGGATGTACAGAAATAATGAACTTGGAAAGAGTTGAAATATGGACCTAAGTATGTGAGGGAATAAAGAAAAAAAGATGTTAAGAAATAATGAACTTGAGACTTGTAGAAAAAGTGAAAGATGTCTTAGTAAAAAATCATAAAAATAAAAGAAGGCAATTAAGAGCAGAAAAGTAGAAGTTGGAGAAAACATTGAGAAAAGACTAAAAACTAAAGTTAAGAAGAAAATATGAAGAATCTAAGAGAGTGTGGAAGACCAACAAGTGGTACTCATATGACCAGAGAGGAAAGATCACCCGAAGTTAATATAATGAGCAATTCATCAATTCTTCCCACAGCTAAACTTACAAGGTGTGACCAGGACACCAACAAACTACCCAATTTAAAACATTAACCTGTACACAGATAGACTATGTAATTATTTATGTTGTTCTCAAACCATAATTTCCTTTCATGATGCATTTACAAACAAGAGCAACACGATGTTTCAGCTCACCTTCTACGTAAAACGGACATATCAGGTAATGGCAAGGCAGACGGAGGTTCCTCGTCACTGGAGTAGTCACAAGTGGGTTCTGTCTTCGGGACATTTGCATTCACAACAGTGCTGTTCAGCTGGATTGGAGAAACATCTACACTGCTGAATCAGGAGAAAATATAACACAAATATTAATAAGTTGAAATAAACAAACATTTTCACTGTTACTCTACAAGACCTTGTTCATCATATACCAGGAACCATGAGTACATAAGAGACTCCACAGTCATTTGCTCTTACTACTATGACTTAAGTGTTCCCTTTCCACTATAAGGCCCCAAAGATATCCATGTGGTTCTCCCTATCACTTCATACAACCTAGTTGATCCCGTACACAATACCACCTCACCTAATCATGCATCAACCTGGGTTGTGAAACAATGTTAACATTCATGCAAAAAAATTTTTTAGGAAGGGGGGGGGGCTTATATAGCTTTGAGATAATCAACAATGTGTTGGTTATTTAGCATGTAGAAAGTATTCATAAATCATATATTTCCTGAAAGGTCAACCCCTGTGAAATTCTACTCTGTGTGAAACTAAAAAGACTGCCATACTCATACAATTTCTACCACTGGCAAGCTTCAATGGTGACTTTTCACAAACATTTCAAGATAATTACAATGATATTAGAGTACTTCAACAACTAAGGCCTTTAAACATGTACTGTATAAGGTTAGTAATTTCACTAGTCCATCAACAATTAAAAACTATGAGGAACAGAACTCTCAGTAATAACACAGTCACAGGTAACATGCATTGCCCAGATGGTAATAAGAAGTAATGCTTTTCATATATGACTCAAGTATTGTTTGGTTAGGATCCTCAGGAAACTAAACAGCTTTAGTTATTGATCATGTACGGTATTCTAATGTTATATAAAAAGCTAAAATTCACATATTAAATGACCCGATAGATAATCAAACCACAATAATTAAATCTTCAAATGAACTGTTATTCACACCTTGTGTTGTGCTGTTTAACAGGTGATCTCTCCACTGGTTTTGTTTTAAACAACTGTGTGAAGATTGGAGAAAATGTTGTGGTGGAAGGCTTGTATGTGACTGGTTGATGGATTCCCCCATTTTTTAGCTTCTTTTGTTTCTTTTGCCAATGATAAATACTCCAGAGGAATGAGCAGGACAGATTCACTGAAAAAATCAAATAGATGAAAAACAACACTGATGATAATGTAACTCCTCAATATGAGATTCCTCTTCTATCCATAACAGGAATGCATAATTCAAGAATACTAACATTACAGGTACAGAATTATAATGTATGACTGTTTAGCAAAGACACTGGATGCTTGAGAGCAATACTGTATGTGGGGTCTGTAGGGTGCAGAGAATATGGAAAACGGAAATGAGATGTGTAAGTGAAACAGGCGTCAGTGAAGAAAGCACATCAGGGTCTGCTCTGGTATTATGGACATATTGAGAAAATGGTATATGAAAGATTGATGAAGTGTATATTAGTCAAAGATGAATGATAGGAGGAAGACAGGAAGATTAATCAAGTAACTGGAAGGATGGAGTGATGGTTGTACAGTATTAGGAAGCATCAGTGTGTTTTAATGACCAGAGAATTTGGAGGGTGATAAGTGTTTGGAGGAGGGAATCGCTCCTGATAGGTGATGTTGGCTTATATACAGTATAATGAAAGTGGTATGTACATACATATATATATATATATATATATATATATATATATATATATATATATATATATATATATATATATATATATATATATATATATATATATATATATATATATATATATATATATATATATGTACAGAATACAGTATATATGTGTGAGTTCATTCAGTATGTATATGTATGTGTTTGTTCCATGTTACCTTCCATTAATTGGGAAAAGTTAGCTTGTATTTATTTATAAAAATATAAAAATAAATTACAAATCTTAGCAACTTACCCAATACACAGAATCCCAAAATAGTAGTGAGTGTAGAAAAATCTAAACTGGTGTCATGCTTCACTTCTGCCAGAGCATTGAGCGGCACCAACACCACCAGGGCTACCCGAGTCAGGTACGGTACCTGAAAAACAGCGACAATTTTGAAACCTCTTATAAATTCACACTACAAATAAAATATACTGCCTCGGTGACTGAAATCCTAGAAAGGTTTGCCCACGAACTATTTAAATATATGCTTTTACTATACTGTATAACCTTTAACACATTCAGTTGGTTGTTCAATCAATTGCAAGTTCAATTCCAGAGGGTGTAAAGATTATGCACATGGTATAGCAATATTCAACAGCACTGTAGGATTATATAACCATAACCACTACAAGTCTACAACTTAACACTTATTATTTATTTATTACAATATAATTCTCATAAGGCAAATTAAAGCACCTGCCCTAAACATGGCCAAGAGGTCAGATTTTTGACCTCTAAATTGATGATCTGGCCTCATTCACACATGCCTGTACTGTACTGAGAACCTATCTTGAATTCAGACAGAGAGCACCACAGCTACTGTGCTCTCATGAACAATAGAGGGATTTTACACAGGCCACTGCCCACCTTCCCTTGGCCACCTATTGTGAGTGGCCATTAGGTAAATAAAGTAAGGTAAATAAAGGCGGCCAGATGTAAAGACACCTCAAACTTGCATTCTCTCACTCTGTCTCACACATAAGCATGCCACCCTTCGCTTTACCTACTCTCGGTTTCACACTAAAATGCAGAAACTCTCTCGTCCTCTCATACATATACTGCACACACACACACACACCGACTCCACATGCTACGACGACTTAGGTCACTTGGGACACCCAGGCCAGAGCTGAGGACTATCTACAACACCTTTATTCTCCCCAAACTAACGTATGCGTCACCAGCCTGGTCGTCTTCTCTCAACTCCACCCAACAAAGTCGGCTAGAGAAGGTACAGAAATGGGCCTGCAGAATCATGCTCAGCGCAGAATACTCCGGCTACATCAATGCTCTCTCCACCCTGGAAATACCATCCCTCAGTGACCTCCACCACCAATCACTGGTAAGGTTTGGCAGTGAACTAATGCACCACCCTCGTCATCGCCACCTCCTGCCACCGGCAGCCCCCCACCCACCTCGAGCAGTCCGCCACTACAACAAAATTCAGCCCACAAGAGCCCGCACCAATAGATATAATAATGGCACCATCCCATCTATTGTTAAAATAATAAACATCTCCTGATTTATGTACTGTACAGCCCTGTAAATGTATTCAATGCACATTACATCATTATGTCTAAATCAAATGTAAGTCTGTATATTTTCAGCCACCGGCTGCAACTCTATTAATAAACCGTTTATTTCTATTATTATTATTATTAAATACATATAAGGAAAATAATACTCATACTCCAATTTTATTTTGGAATTTACATGGCACAGATTTTTATAAAATCTTATGAAACTAATTATTTATGAAGTGGCAGTTTCTGTGGCTCAGCTGGGTGTTATCAACAAAAATGCAGTAAATGCAACAAATGTAAAAACCTGTCTCTCACCATCAGTTTTGGAATATATTTTGTGTCGCAAACCTCGTCAGTTGTTCAATAACATATTATACTCTCTATTCTGTTATGACACATTATCATTATAATACAGTACAGTGAGTTCTGCTATAATGCGTGTCTAGACAACGCGAATTGGCTCTAACACGATTTATGAATAGAGGAACGATATTTGTATAACGTGAACGCTTGTTTGCTGTAACGCAATTTTTGCTTACTATTTCTCCAATTTTGTGGTATTAACCGTGAATATGGTAAAGAAGAATATCTCCAAGAAGCGTTCTGGTGATCGCATTCCCAGTGATGATCATAAAAGAAAGGCTATAACACTAAAGAAAAGCTCGATGTTATCAACCTCAAAATCACCCTTCTCCCCCATCAAGTTATATTCATATTTTTTCAAGGTAATGTGTTACATTTACTGTATGATTTCATTATTAGATATGAATCTAACATTTATTTAGACTGTGCTATCCTTTGTGTTAGGCTAACTACTAAATTTTTTTCGATTTCAAGTCGTAATCTGCACCTAACCCTATTTTCTCCATAAGCCCTGTTATTTCTATTACGCGAATTTCTATAACACGATGTTTTACAAGAACACAACTATCGCGTTATAGCAGAACTGACTGTACACAGAAATAAAAAAATTTATTCTCTTCCCAATGATGCCACCAAGTATCACTGGTAACGATTTGTTTGTCACTATCAAATTTAACAGATCGTTATTCAGAAACTCCAAAAGATAATCAAGTTCGTTTGAATTTTCAGTGACAGAACAGTCACTAGTTAGTCCACAACTAACTCTGTCAAAATCTAGAGTTTTAAACTGTAAGTCACCGGCAATCCATCCCCAACACTCTACGCCATAGCATCGTCTTCCCCTCCCTTTGCTAGTACTTGGCTCAGCTTTGCCACTGCTCGACTCATCTCTCTTTCTATTGGCTCTCCAACATCACTGTCACTCCTCTCTATGTCCAAGACAATTGTTACTTTCTGTTGAATCAATAAGATCAACATAAAAGTCAGGATTGGCAGAGGCATCCCCTTCTACTGCCTGCCGGTCAAGACACAGTTATCATACACCAACCTTCCCGTTCGCCACTGCGATAGTAACTCGGTGTTTTTTCATGACGTAAAATATGGACTCGGTGAAAGGAAACACTAGATAACTCGCCATACAGTACTTTCCAATCAAAGTTCATCTTCAAACTAATGCACGCAATTTAAAAATGTTCTGGGATATGTCTGTCCCACCTGCATTGTACTGCAGGAAGCATTTATGTGTGTATGCATCCCACCCATAATAAAAGAGCAAAATATGGCACTATTATTTTTGCTGAGGTTTATGAGTTTGGGAGTTACGTTCAGTTATTCAGGATAAAACACACACCATCTTTGTACAATTATGGATGATGCACCTCTAAAAATAAACTAAAAAGTAAGAACCAACCTGTAGAAAGCTAGCAGAAATCATTCCAATGAAGAAGTAGCTAATATGTAAGACACAACTATACACCTTCTGGACAGTGTTATCAGTGCCACCAACAAGAGATGTAATCCAAGACAACTTGTCTTCAACCCCGCGTCTAGTAGAGTGAAGGACGTCCATCAAATGATGCACCGTCGCGTTCATCCGCTGCAAATCATCCGTCAGTCGCCCATACTGATGAACAGTTTCCTCATGAGCTGACAGGATTTTTTGAGTACTGGTATCTAAGAGTTGTGAGTAAACAAAAGAAGATCTTATAACACAGAAAAGATCCTCTATTTATATAATTAAGGTTGAGCAAATTATTAAAACACATATTAACGAGTAAATAACTACCCAAGTTTGTTAATTTTTTTAATTTACTAGAATTACAATCACAGACAGACAATTAACATGGAACGCCCACTACACCCATGACTGCCCACATATAATCACCAACTGCCCTTGCCCATAACACACACATTCTCATCCACATGCTGGTGCTCTTTTGTTTAGAACTCTTGTCAACTATAATTGACACACAATTAATTATACAAACCGTCCTTTCTCTGTAGACACACACAGACGTACACAGTCACTCCAAAAGTTATCTTTACAATTTGTGCGAGACATTATGACAAAACCAACGAAGGATTTTGACAACCCTAATGAGACAACAGGAGTCGTAGTGTTCATTTTGAAATTTATTGAACCCCTCCGTAAACATCCCTTTTGGAGTGACTGTACATCATCCCTGCTATACCCTCCACAACCTAGCTTTCAGTCAGGGATACAAAAGCCTACTTTTAGAGTCTAAAAATCTATTGAAAATAAAATGGAATTAACTACCGGTAATTATTTTAGTGTAACCCACATGACCCCACAGGTGCCCAATAAATCCAACAGCTTAAAAATCTATTCCTATAATCAGCAGATGCACATGAAGAAGTCAACCAAATTCATTGATCCACACTTGATACTTTTTTCCTGTAGTCCTGCATGTATTAAGAGACAAATTACCAGGCATACAAAAAATTTACAATAAAACTCACCTAATTTCTGCCAGACCTCGAGTGCATTATCCTGTATCTTGGAGAGATCTTCAAGAATAGTGCTATGTGCATCTTTCTGGCTGTTCTCCTGTATCATCAACTGCTGATGTGCTTCATCTGGTGATAATATAAAGATCAAAATATAAACTGTGTGATACACAACTACTCCATCTACAAGAAGGCCTCCGATAACGACGGTTCTACTGATGGCGATTCATATTTAAGACCTTAGTTAATTTAGTACTCAATACAATTTACACGATTATTTTCTTCATATTTACGACGAATATAGAATAAAATATAAAATAAAATTACCTTTTCATATAAATAATATTAAATCCCAATATACAGTATATATATATATATATATATATATATATATATATATATATATATATATATATATATATATATATATATATATATATATATATATATACAATTAACCTCGGTTATGAACTCAATCCGTTCCAGAAGGTTGTTCGTTAACCGAAACGTTCGTTAACCGAAACCATTGTTGCAATGGGTTTTTGGGTAATTGGTTCCAGCTCACCGAAAATTTCCTAAATTCAACAAAAATTGTAAAAAAGTTCACTTACTTTGAGGTGTGTATGTAGAAGGCTCCTGGATGATGATGATGATGATGGGATTTAGAATGGGGGTGGAGGGGAAGGAAGAAGAGAAGGCATTGGGGTGGAAGAGAAGTCACCCCATGGTGCCATTTCACCCATAAAATTTTAGCTCTCTGGTTTAATTCAAGATTATTTTCTTTAAATCAACGCTGCACTGCATTATATATTGTCAAAATATAAAATATATTTCAAAATGACCAATAATTTGCTTGGAAACACAGAAAAAAAGCGTTTAGTTGAAGAGAGTCTCAAGCAAGATGTTACCTCCAGTGAAAACAGAGAGAGACTGACGCCTGTTTGCTGTGTTAAGAGGCTGGATGCCGCGCATTAAACTAGTCACTTTACCTTCAATTTTGTTCAATAATTGTTAAAATGACTAAAAAATTGAATATTAAACTTTTAAAATTATTGAATAGTATAAACTTCTTGATATTTACAAAAATAGTAAGGAATTTAAGCCCTAGAACCGATTAATGTATTGGCGGACTGATACTAAAGCTGGTTGCCCGGTCAGTGCAAGCGAAAACATGTTGAGGTCGGTTCGTAAGAAGTTCGTTAAGCGAATTTTTTTTCGTTAACCGAATTGAAGATCCTTATGGAAGGCAGTTCGTTAATCGAAATTACGTTAACCGAGGTGTTCGTTAAACGAGGGGTCACTGTATATATATATATATATATATATATATATATATATATATATATATATATATATATATATATATATATATATATATATATATATATATATATATATATATATATATATATATATATATATATATATATATATATATATATATATATGTGCGTGTGTGTTAAAACGGTATGAAAAAGGTGAGAGGTCTGTGGATATTATATGGTGCAAGCAATGAACATATTTTCTGAAGTGAATCCATTAATAGAATGAAGCATTAAAATTAACAGGGATGTGAAAAATGCATATGACCTCTACATAAAAATGTATAATGAGAAAAGAAAGCAGCTGCGCAAGGTTATTTCGACAGCTTTATTATTCAAAGACCTAAACCTTCAACTACACCATTAAATTCAGCATCATAAGCAGCTTCAGCATTAACTACAGGTTCAGTAACAGCTATGACATCTTTATGGAAAGCTACAGCTTCAGCCAGAGTTGAAACTACAGCTTCAGCCAGAGTTGAACCTACAGCTTCAGCCAGAGTTGAACCTACAGCTTCAGCCAGAGTTGAACCTACAGCTTCAGGCAGAGTTGAACCTACAGCTTCAGCCAGAGTTGAATCTACAGTTTTAACCAGAGTTGAACCTGATGACTTCGTCACCTGAGTAAAAACTCACACATCATCATTGGCTGTCCTTATGTTTTTTACTTCACCATCATTGGTGAGTAGAAATTTTGTTTTACATTCGTAAGTATTATTTAAAATATATACGAACAGTAAATAAGTGTTGCCTTTATATTCTTATGCAGAGAAATGACGATATGTTTTCACATGTACGCAATTACATACGTTGGCGTTCCCAATCCATCTCGCTTTTTTTCTTTACCATTAGTGGTTAGCTACTTCTGTTGTTCCATTTGTTAACATTAAATAACATTACTTAAAACATACATATTCATTACTTTACATTAATTTTACTACAGCTACAACCAGGGTCTTATTTTCTTCAGTTTCTCATGTAGAACCATCGTCACGGGTGTAAACACTAATGAAAACAATGCTGTCTCGTCTCCTCTTGTGTGTTTTAATATTCTACATATTATTAATGAATTGCATTGTTCATTTTGCATATATAAACATTAATTCAATCGAATACCTTTTCAGTAATAAACAATAATGAATCTTTTGTACATATTCTTAATAAGATAAATGACGGTGTTTCCCTGAGTGCACACGCATACGTTGCCGTTCCACTATCAGTCTCTCACTTTTTTCTTTACCATCAGTGGTTACTTCTACTGTACATTAAATAACATTAATTAAAACATACTTATACTTTTACATTAATTTTACAACAACAACCAGGGTCCTATTTTCTTCAGTTTCAGATGGACAAATGACATTATGGGTGTAAACACTGACAACAACAATGGCACCCCATCTCTTGTGTGACCATATTATTGTTATTATTGATTTATATTGTATAAGGAGCATTCATAAACATTTTTTATTTAGAGAATATAGTTTGCATTTTACTTAATTTTATTGTTTGGGGGGAAAGTGGATAAAAAGCCACACAAAAGATATGAAAAGGTCAGACTTTGGAAGGTATCTCATTATTATTGCTTTATTTTAATGGTAATGAATGATTCACAATACAATGATTCACCTACACTGCAAAATTGGAGGACACATTACTGTCATTATTCGAGGCTTTACTGTACTCCTAACTCCTATCAAAACCTCGAATTCCTTGTAAAAAAATTGTGAGGAGTTAAATACTGTACTGCCTTTCAGTTATCAATTACTGTACTATGTTTTCCCCCTCTAACATAAGGCAGTACCTGTTCAGTATATAAATATAGCACTTTCATATCGTTACATGAATGGTATCTACTACAGTAATAAACCTTTACAACCCTTAATGGCCAATTGTTTCATTGGCTGTAATTTGTCGTGTCTGGCTAATAAAGTGCCTGACGGACATACTATACTTGTGTTCTACAGTATTTATTCTCTATAACGTACTGTATTATAATATATTGCATAATTATTTATTTTGTAACCGTAACATTGATATACGTATCAAGTACGATGTTTGGGTCAGTCTCGTCAAAACAACCCATAGAAGCTGACGAGTTCAGAGTGGATTCACTCGCATACAAACTTGGGTTGTCACCGGACTCTTCACCACTGGTCTGCTTTACCAATATACAGTACTGTACGTTTGTCTTCTCTCTGGTGATGTACTCGTGGTATTCATTGTTGAGGTTGGCTGGCTGTTTTGTTCTTTATGTGTTTGTGTTTCTTACAATTATGATTGTTTTGGGGCGATATTTATGACCCTAGAGTAGCATCGTAGGTGGTAAATGGTTCGTAAGTATTATATTTAAAAATTTTACTCATCTTTCTTTTCTCCAATCATCAAGTATTCACGTATTAAAAGGGACTACATACAACCAATATTTAATACCACAGTCGGAGTTCTTCCCAATACAAACATTAAGGACCATTCACAGTAATTCACTTTTAAAGACTTTAATTTTTGTTTGTTGTGACCCTTATCCCTTTGACTCACAACAGAGAAACCTGATAGTTAAAAAAAACAAAAAAAAACAAAAATAAATAAATAAATAAATAAAAAGTTTTTACCTGAACTTATTAACCGAACAACAGTACCGCTGCTCCCCAACTTACGACGGGGTTAGGGACCGACATCCAGGGCGTATGTCGAAATGGTTGTAAGTCGGAAATTCTTAAATAATACATAGAAAATCTAAGATGGGGGTCTCTTTTTCTTCTCAACACCACAAAACACTCACTTTTAAGCTTGCCAGCCATTTTAAAATGAATTACAGATGAAAATTTTGTCTGTGTGCTGACTTTGGGACTCGAAAATACGTAATTTGACCAAATTTTGGTACGACTGAGGCAGGTCGTAAGTGCGGGTGGACGTAAGTCGAGTAGGTCGTAAGTCGGGGAGGAGCTATGTATCTCTAAGCATTTTACACACAAGATTCACATTGGTGAGATGGCATCCTTTGTTATTAACACAATGTTGGTGTACTCGCTCATTGTTCTCTGGAGTTCTCATGGTAGGTGTTTTCCCTGGAGGCTTCTTCTTTGAAGCAGAAGCCATTTCTCGTAAGATTTTAACCCACAACTTAATTATGTTGCAGCTAGGAACACCGTCATTCTGATGAATGTTAAACTGGCGGCAAAATAAATGCTGAATTGCAACCACACTCATTGTTTATAAAAAATGTCTCCATTACAAATGCACAATGCTGTACGGACCAGCGCTCCAAGGTGACTAATTGCTTTCAGTTGAACTGCACACGAGCTCAGTGTCACTGCCCCCCACTCCAAAGGTTTCAAGCACTGACGTATTTAAAAACCATCAGGTTTCTCTGCCAGACCCTGATGCTTTTCAACCCTTACCATACACCATTTCTTTCCCCTATCATCTCTACTCCTCCTCCAAGCAGATGCACTATTTTGTGTTTACCTGCCCGTGTAAAAAACTTTGATTCAAATGGGCCTCTCCTCCTAAACAAAAGATATGTACTGCAGTACGACCATCATACATTACCTAACTTTCGTTTAATTGTTTCTGTGATGAGCGCAAGTTCCCTTTGTCCTGATGCAATCAGTTTCTTCTCTCTCGACAGTTCACGCAGATTTGAGGAAACAAAGCTGTGAATTGCATGGTGTGCTGTTGAAAGCTGTTGCTGCTGTTGTTGAAGGTGTTTATGTCCATCACTCAGTGAGTCAAATGTCTTTGAGGTTGCTATTCCAAGGGCTTCTTGACTTTCCTGTAAAGCAGTCCAGTCCTTTAAAAAATCATCAACCAATAAATTATTTCAAAATATAGTCCCCCTTCATCCATGATCTCCAAGGCAATCAAATCTATGCTTTTACATGCAGTACCTTTTGTGTAAAATTTGGCTAATATGCATTCATCCTGTCTCAAGATACATTTTAGTTCCAGTGATCTTTTGACTTCAAAAAGATACCTGTAAACATTGGTTTGGAAATAAGAGTAGTGGATGAGTGGAACAAGTTACCAAACATCATCATTAACTCGAATACGCTGGATAGCTTCAAACATACAGTAGGTTGGATGGATATATGAGCGATAGGGGTTGGGTGTAAACGGGACTGCCTAGTATGGGCCAATAGGAACGCTGCAGTTTCCTCCATTCCTATATAATAAGGTTTAGAAATTTACACACAGTACTTAATGTATGTTTGGTATGTTTAGCCTTGAGATATCTTGCATATGAGTATAATACACAATTTTGTATTGACTTTGACCTACTACCAGTACCTTCAAAAGTCAAAAACACAGATTTGTTGAAAGACAGACAGGGTGATTTCAATAAGATTCCTCTATGTCCAGCGTAAGGCTCTATGAAGCTGAAATCAATTATAACCTCAATATTCAACTCATAATTGCATAAGTTCTTCTGTTTTTCTTAAGCTCATAAAAATTTCACACTTGAAGCACTATGTTAAAATATGAGGAATAAACAATATATTTAAAGAAGTGCACAGCTCGTGGCTGGGTAAGTAAAGTCATTCAGGCTAAATAGTCCACACAATAAGGGCATACAGCACAGTTTGTTTATATTAAAAAGAAGACTAGATAAGTGATGAAAAAAAGATGAAACACTGAAAATCTGGCTGAAGATAACCAACAAACTGACCTGCAGGTCATCCATTGACTTTATTTGTTCTTCAGCTGTATGCATTAACATGTTGACTGCCATCTGGGTCTTGGCTCCAAACTGTTCTTGACGGGAAGCATAACAAACTGCTCTTGCACGATTAGATACAATATGATAAGCATTCCAGGTGTTTGGATCCATGTCTTTAGTACAATCTGAAATTGTCTGTAACGAATTAAAAAATATATATATAATAACTACTGTATATTGTAGTATACACTGTAACATAGAAAAATGCAGCACACTCAATCAGCTACAAGTCACAAGGTATTGCAGTTTTATGAATGGTAAGGACTACTATAACAGCTCATTAGAAACCAATATTTCAGTATATATATATATATATATATATATATATATATATATATATATATATATATATATATATATATATATATATATATATATATATATATATATATATATATATATATATATATATATATATATATATATATATATATATATATATATATACTGTATATATATAATAATAATAATTAACGGTTTATTGAAAGAGCTTGGCAGCCAGAAGGCTGAAAATATACAGTTACATATTTGGGGAATGGGTTTCGAATTACAAATAATATACAAGTAACATAAGTGATACAAATAAGATATATAATAACTAGATGGGGAAAAGCTCAAACTACAGTGCATTTCAACATAGTGACAGTGCAAGAAGTAGTATTTACTGGGAGTGAATACACTGGTTTATTACAAGTTATTGATAATTTTACAATGGTTGGGACTGGGCTGTTCTTATAGCGATCAGTTCTGCATGTATGGGCTGGATGCGGTTGTGGTGCCGAACAGCACCTGGCCAGGGTATCTCAGGTGGTAGTAGGATTGTGCTCTTGGTGATGGTGAAACTTACCAAATTTGCAGATGAGGTCGTGGTGATGGTCAGTGAGATTGAAGGGTCAGTGTGTTGAGCGCTTGATATGTGAGTAGGGAAAGGAGAGAATAATCTAGATAAACCTCACTTCATGTTAATCTAACCCATCGGCGTTCACAGAAGTGAGAAAACGCGAAGTGAAACAACATAAATATATGGGATTAATTAAATAGAGACCGGTCAATTTCAAACTCCACTTTTTTTCAGGACACAATACTAATGCGGTAGTAAAAATATTATCTTAACTTTATGATGGTATGCACACACAATTAATAATTAAGAGAAATATCAATAATATTAGGTTTTTAACACTTACATTAGTAGAAAAAATGGCTGGGCACACGGGGATGGGCGGTTGGTTCCGAGGCAGAGGGCAGATTATTGGCCCTCACCTGTGTCACTTGTATCAATTGTATCACTATCCACCACAGAGGCTTGCAGGGCCTCTTTGTCAAACTCCCCAAAGTCCATATAAGTCCATATCCTCACCATAATTATCACTATCACTGATCAAATAGTTGTGTGTGGTATGGTGAAGAACTCGTAATGTTTTTGATGATCACACTAGGCAAGACCTCGCTCGCGCCGCCTTCCGCTGGTAAAGGGTATACATCATGAAGTGAGATTCCGCCGCAGGGTACCGCTTAAAAGTAGAAATTGTAGGTGGGACTGGCAGAAAGCGAAAATCACCGTATATATATACAGTTGTACCCCGCTTTACGCGGTTTCACTTAACGCGATTTCTCATATACGCGGTGCCTCGCCAGAACCGAACTTTCGCTTAACGCGTTTCATCTACCCATATACGCGCAGAGTGTCCGGCTCGAGACGCTATTTTTAGATTCGCCCCACCCGCCACCCGCTGCCGCCTGCCTCGCCTCTCCCTCCTCCTCCTCCTCCCTCCCTCCCCTCCCGCCTCCGCCTCCCTCCGCCTGGGCAAGCCGCTCTGTAAGGTTGCGCAGTGTGTGTCTTTGTTGCGTTATCACTGACATCATATGACATATCGGACTGTGATTGGCCATGCATCCCTACCCCCCTCTGCTGCTAGCTGTAATTGGTTTAAAGTAATATGACGTGTCCACCCGGGGAGGGAGAGAGGTAGGAAAGAGGACGCTGCCGCGCTAGTTTCATCCCTCCAGGTCACCCCGTGTATACGTGCATCCATTGTTCTGTGAAATGGCTTCCGCCGGACCACCACCGCCACCAGAGAGAAACCTTTCCTTACCTGGACCCAGTCGCCCTAAGCCCAAGAAGACACGCCGTGGCCTAAGCTACGAAGTGAAATACCAGATCATTCAAGATTTGGAGAAAGGAACACTCAAGCTGATCTCGCGCGCCAGCATGGCGTCAACGAATCTACGATTCGTACTATTAAGAAGGATGCAGCCAGGATTAAAGAACACATGAAAATCACAAAGTCTGCAGGTGCTTCAATGATCAAGTATTGCCAGAACAGGGTGCTGGTAAAGGTGGAAAATTTGCTGGTGAGTTACTTGATTCGTCAGGCAAGACGGAACATGGCGGTCGACACGCGCTCAGTGCAGGAGTACGCACGTGAACTTTACGCAGCAGTGTCACGTAAGCTGGGAATTGCAGAGCCCAAACCCTTCAATGCTTCCTCTGGTTGGCTGCATAGGTTTAAGAAGAGGAACAAGATCACCAACATCAACATTGGTGGTGAGGAAGCGAGTGCTGACCGTGTGGCGGCAAGAGATTTTCCTCCGTTCTTACGTGAGGTTATGGAGGAAGGACAGTACACTGACGACCAGGTGTTTAACATGGACGAATCTGGTCTCTTCTGGAAAAAGCTACCTTCCAAGACCTTCGTTGTCCAGTCTGCCAGCAAGGTAAGGGGTCGGATGTTGCAGAAGGAACGCATCACCGTCCTCTTTACCACCAATGCCTCCGGTACCTGTAAACCAAAGTTATCGGTGATTCACACAGCCCGCAAGCCGCACGCCTACAAGAATATGGACATGAACAAGCTTAATGTCCACTGGCTAACCACACGTAAGGCGTGGATGTCCTCTTCTCTGTCCCTCTTCTGGTTTGACGACTGTTTTGTTCCCGACGTGAAGAAATTCTGCGAGCAACAGAATGTTCCATTCAACATTTTGTTGCTCCTTGACAACGCACCTGGACACTCGCCCCTACTTATGGATCGTCACCCCAACGTAAAAGTGGTCTTCCTTCCTCCCAACACTACGTCATTAATCCAGCCCATGGACCAGGAGTTGATCTGCAATGTGAAAGCTGCATACTCTGCAAAGAAGTTCAAGCTCCTGAACGACTCTACCAACACCAAGGATGAGTTGCGTAAGCTGGGTGACACCGACAGCGAGAGTAAAAGCGACGAGGACAAGGAACAAGAGGTGGCGACTCAAGAAGTTCTCGTCAAACAGTTTTGGAAGAAGTTTAACGTCAAACAAGCTGTAGACTTCTTGGTGGAGGCATGGGATCAGCTGTCTATTGCTACGATTCGTCACGCATGGAGACATGTGTTGCATGGCATACCAGCTGAGAGGAGGAGTCAACCTGTGACTGGTGAGGTTCAGACTGTTGCAGTAGCAGTGGACCTTGCCAGAGAAGCTGCGCACAATATTACAGCTGAAGGCTTCTCCGAGACCACCAACGAAGACATCCTGGATGTGATCAGAGATCCTGAAGTGACTGCCGACGAGATGTTGGAAGATGATCACGTCAGTGAAGAGGAAGAAGGTGCGTCATTCTCCGAAGAACACAAGTTAAGTCATAGTGATATTAAGGGTGCCATGGAGTGTGCAGAAAAAATGAAGTCCTTCCTTTCCCGCGACAATGACGACGACCGCTATGAAATCTTCCATACCCGGCTGGTGCAGGCTATGGAGCCGTACATCACGGTGTATCAAGACAACATTAACACTAGCCGTCAAAAAAGCATTACCGAGTTCTTCGCCCGCAACCCACCACAGCCAGCCAGAGCCAGTGATAGTGACAGTGAAAGTGACTTTGAGGGATTTGTCAGGGAAGCCCCGACAACTGTAAGTGACAGTGATGCACCTAGTAATGGTGATTCACCTGAGGGCCAGTAATCTGCCCTCTGCCTCGGAACCAGCCTCCATCCCCGTATGCCGACCCATCTCTTCTACTAACATAAGTGTTCAACATAACTTTTAGTTTTCCTCACCTAACCTTTATTTTTCCTAACTTAACCTTTATTTTTCCTAACCTAACCTCTTCTATATTACTTGTTTGTTCATACCATCATAAAGTTAAGATAAAATTTTTACTACAAGATACTGTAGTTGTGTCGTCAAAAAGTGGAGCTTGGGGGTAGGGCCAGTCTCTATTGGAATTAATCCCATATGTTCTGTTGTTCACTTAACGCGGTACCCTATGGGTTCAATTGACCGCGTTAAGCGGGGTACAACTGTATATATATTAGGTAGTTCTCGGTTAACGAACTCAACTGCCTCCAGAAGGTCGTTTGCTAACCTAAACGTTTCGTTAAATGTAAACCATTGTTTCAATGGGTTTTGGGTACTGGTTCCAGCTCACCGAAAATTTCCTAAATTCAACAAAAATGGTAGAAAAGTTCACTTACTTTGAGGTGTGTATGTAGAAGGCTCCTGGATGATGATGATGATGATGGGATTTAGAATGGGGTGGAGGAGAAGGAAGAAAAGAAGGCATTGGGGTGGAAGAGAAGTCACCCCATGGCGCCATTTTACCCATAAAATTTTAGCTCTCTGGTTTAATTCAAGATTATTTTCTTTAAATCAATGCTGCACTGCATTATATATTGTCAATATATAAAATATATTTCAAAATGACCAATAATTTGCTTGGAAACACAGACAAAAAGCATTTAGTTGAAGAGAGTCTCAAGCAAGATGTTACCTCCAGTGAAAACAGAGAGAGACTGACGCCTGTTTGCTGTGTTAAGAGGCTGGATGCCGCACATTAAACTAGTCACTTTACCTTCAAATTTGTTCAATAATTGTTAAAATTACTAAAAAATTGAATATTAAACTTTTAAGATTATTGAATAGTATAAACTTCTTGATATTTACAAAAATAGTAAGGAATTTAAGCCCTAGAACCGATTAATGTATTGGCGGACTGATACTAAAGCTGGTTGCCCGGTCAGTGCAAGCGAAAACATGTTGAGGTCGGTTCGTAAGAAGTTCGTTAAGCGAATTTTTTTTCGTTAACCGAATTGAAGATCCTTATGGAAGGCAGTTCGTTAATCAAAATTACGTTAACGATCGATGTGTATATATATATATATATATATATATATATATATATATATATATATATATATATATATATATATATATATATATATATATATATATATATATATATATATATATATATATATATATATATATATATATATATATATATATACAGTGACCCCTCGGTTAACGAACTCAATCCGTTCCAGAAGGTCGTTCGTTAACCGAAAAGTTCGTTAACCGAAACCATTGTTTCAATGGGTTTTTGGGTAATTGGTTCCAGCTCACCGAAAATTTCCTAAATTCAACAAAAATGGTAGAAAATTTCACTTACTTTGAGGTGTGTATGTAGAAGGCTCCTGGATGATGATGATGATGATGGGAATTACAATGGGGGTGGAGGAGAAGGAAGAAGAGAAGGCATTGGGGTGGAAGAGAAGTCACCCCATGGCACCATTTCACCCATAAAATTTTAGTTCTCTTGGTGTATTTCAAGATTATTTTCTTTAAATCAACACTGTACTGCATTATATATTGTCAATATGTAAAATATATTTCAAAATGACCAATAATTTGCTTGGAAACACAGAAAAAAAGCATTTAGTTGAAGAGAGTCTCAAGCAAGATATTACCTCCAGTGAAAACAGAGAGACTAACGCCTGTTTGCTGTGTTAAGAGGCTGGATGCTGCGCATTAAACTAGTCACTTTACCTTCAATTATGTTCAATAATTGTTAAAATGACTAAAAAATTTAATATTAAACTTTTAAAATTATTGAATAGTATAAACTTCTTGATATTTACTAAAATAGTTAGGAATTTAAGCCCTAGAACCGATTAATGTATTGGCGGACTGATACTAAAGCTGGTTGCCCGGCCAGTGCAAGCAAAAACATGTTGAGGTCGGTTCGTAAGAAATTCGTTAACCGAATTTTTGTTCGTTAACCGAATTGAAGATCCTTATGGAAGGCAGTTCGTTAACCGAAATTTCGTTAACCGAGGCGTTCGTTAAACGAGGGGTCACTGTATATATATATATATATATATATATATATATATATATATATATATATATATATATATATATATATATATATATATATATATATATATATATATATATATATATATATATATATATATATATGAAGTCCTTAGAAACATTCTTGAATAACAGGAAACTGAGATGGTTAGACATGCAAGCAAAGCAATATTTATGATACATCAAGACAGTAAAGAATAAAATTCCAAAAAGCTTGGGGGACCTGTTCCACTTTCTTTAGGTGAGACTAATGTTAATCTGGGAGACTGAAAAATAAACTTTGGCACAATTAGTTAAATGCTCACCATGTCACTAGTGCAGGGATAAATTGGTCGCCCCTCTGCCACTGATTGACAGTTCAGAAGGTTGACAGCTACTTTGGATAAGTCTTCTTCAGTCAGTTCTGCACATGATGTCTGTAGTCCCAAGATAACCTGAAACAAGATATTTTGTCAACTACCAATATACTGCATATAATATACCCAGTAATTACATACATTTTAATAAAATAATATAAAAATATAACCAGAGTACATAACAGTATACAATTTCTTACAATAATGCGACCTACTAAATTTGCCATTGATACAAGATGACTTGCAATTTCTGAAAGAGAAAGAAATATTCACAAAACCTCACATAAAATATATACCAATATCTTACCTTATGATGACAAACATCTAACTCAGACAGCTTCAAGGAGGTATATGCTGCAGCTTCCATTAAGAACTTCTCATCTGAAGACTTTATTTCAAATGGTATTTTAGCAGCTAAAACAACTTCTGTCACAACACCTGCATCTTCTGCAATAAAGGGTTGGAAAAAAAAAAGCAAATTACATTACGAAACTGTTCTTTTACTGGAAATACATCATACGGGGGAATAAAAGAAAGTAATTTGAAGTAGCAAATGGGCCATGGTCTCCTCCAGCATGTTCAAGTGATTTAGAACAAACAATTATCGAATAATGTCCGAGTGTTTTAACGGATCACTGACTGGTGCCAAACTTTGGTTTGTCCCTGATAAATTCATTGTTCATGGATTATTTTTATTTTTGCTGTATTTTTAATAATTTCACCACTTATCAGCTAACTAGCCATTCGAGCAGTTGGTCTACCCAGTGTTAGTACAAGAGGAAACTGGAGTGCCAGGAGGAAGCATGTGATGATCGGTAGAGTCACAAGGGATACCATCCTTCACACAGTGTTCTGGTCAAGCAGGACTCGAACCCTTGACACATTCGTGAGAGATGGTTTGCGTTCATGTAAACGTGCCGTGAAGGCTTCTGCAAAAAACATTTCACGTGATGAACTTTGCAACTAGGGCAGTGAACACTTAAGTCACCAAGGTTACCTTGGCGAAGAGTCTATTCTTATCAGTGCCACAATACATCAGAAATTGAGGAAAACCTAACGGAAAAGTAACAGTTGCCTTAGTTCACCAGAGTTAAGTGTAAGAGTAGAAAACAGAGCAATAAACCAATGATACTCATTAGTGGTCCTACTCGGACCACTTAGGTTAACGAACACATTTTACACATTTATTTTTGCATGGCTGATAAAAGTACAAAAGTACAAACATTACTGATAAACAGTCATATAAAAGTACAAAAGTACAATGATAAAAATCAACATAAAAGTACAAACATTACTGATAAAGTCACATGATGTCAAACGGCTCGTAGCAAATCTTTAACAGTTCTTCATCCACTACTGAATTTGTCCCACAGTTTGAAGAGCTGTTCTTGGTGATGTACATAATTGGCCCGTTGTTTTCGTAGCACTTTACTAATGGACAAGAGCCGCACCTGGAGTGTCACTAGTTTTGCTTCATTATGGAGTAACTTGATTAACAAATAAAAGTTAAGTTGTCCTTTTTCTTGCTTTCAAGTTAAGGCAATTATGCCACCCTTCACAGTCATTACTGTATTTGTGCCGACACACCTTTTAAATACACTCCAAGCAGATGGGGTCCAGATGTCATTCCTGAACCTCTAGTCAGCTACTTGTTTGAAGTGTGCAAGGTGGGCCATGCATACCAAGCACTGGTCAGCCATGGTCAGGACTCAGAATGTGACTGATCCTGTAATCTAACAACAACATGAAGTGACTTTACACTTTATAAACAGACAGGAAACTCCTTTGTTACGAATGTGAATCATGGTTCATTGACCAAGTTCTACTAACACAAACGCATAAAATTCGTTCTTCATACCGATTGTGCCCTCGGTATTCACTCATTCAAACTTCATATTTCAATGAACCAAAAGAGACATAAAACAAATCTCAAACTCATTCCTCAACCACTAGTCAGCTACTTGTTTTAAGTGTGCAAGATGGGCCGAGTTAGAAATGCGTGGGCCAAGTTGGTTATTTAAGATGGGTCGAGTTGTAAGTACACCGCAATAGTAACACCTAAAAGTTTGTATACCTAGAAGCTGTATAAGAATCATAATTCAGGAAGACAGTTCCCTCTCCCTAGAGAGACGAGTCGCATAACAGGCATTAGCTAAGCTGAAGCATTCATAATTCCCACCGCAGCAAGGCCAAGCATTGGCCAATGTTGCCATATTTAAACCATACAAGAACAAGATAGTTAAGGCAATATAAAACAACAACAAAAATTACTACTGTAGAAGCCTCTATGGTTCCTGCAATGAGCTCTCAAGCAACTAAGCCGGGGTCCTTATATGCCAAAACTGCAAGATAGATTACCACAAGGGATGCTTATGAGTGACTGAGGATCTATTTGAAGCCCTCAAATGCATCTCAGCTTTAGACAATAAACCTGTCATGTTTCTTTGCAGAGAATATATGACACAAGTTAAGGAGGTATTAAAGCCTGTAGAGGAGCATGAAACCACGACAGATAAGTTAGATAACTACAAGCTTGCCAAGTTATCATGCAGAACGAATATAAGAATATACTTTTTCACAGTGTGGTAGAAACGGTCTACCAGCCCAAGCTGTGGAATCAAGAACAGAACAGTACTGGGCTTCAAAATAGACCTCGACAAAATTATTAAGAACAATGGAGGGATCCTACACAGGGAGCTGGCCTCCTTCCCTCAGTATGGCCACCTCTAATTAATGGCCATTATGTAAGATTTCTCTTGTTGCCACCCGAAGAATTTTGAGAATTTTATGGATGTACTCAATAGTCTAAACAATTCTAAGACACTTTTCTTCTATACTGTAATGCTTCTCTGGCAAATAACCTAACCTCCTAACCGAGTGTCTTAGTGTTGCAACCCAAAAAATTCTAAAAACTCTTTGGCTGGCAACAAGTGAAATAATAACACATACCAAAAGGTAAATAAGATAGCACATTACAGCTGTAGCACCAACACCCTCCATTACCATGCTATATAATACATGACCCAACTCAGAAAAATAGCATTTCCTCAATAGGGGAATATTACATTAGGTTAAATACTGACATTAAATAACCACTCAGAGGGGGGAGGGGGTAGGTCAGGCTATGCTAGGTTAAATAAGGAAAACATTGGTATTTTGTTTTTTCTCCAGAAATAAACTATCTCCAATAATAAAAACAAAAACAGCAAAATTCATGCAGGAAAAAAAATGTGTTTGCTGGCGAAATCGCTCACAGCACTTAAGTAAACGTTTGCCAATTTTAGACATGGACTTTACTTACATTCAGTAATGAAACATCAAAACAGTAAACACATTAATTCTGGGAATCATAAACACCAAATAAACTTACCATTTGTATTCCCAAAGGCAGTGTCTGAGCTGATGACAATGGGCTGTTTCTCCTTCGTTTTAGCTTTAAATAACCAAGTGAACAACCCTCCATGGCACAAGTTAACAAAAAATAACAATAAGATTATCTCCAATATTTTCATGGTAGATATGAGGAAATCCAGAACATGAGACGGTGAAAAATACGAGTAGAAGCAGAGACACCAGCGGGAGGAACCGTCAGCTGTTTTGTTTTGAAGCGGGGTAGTTAAGGCACCCTATTGGTCCTCCACTCTTGTCAAGTTGCCATATCCTGACTATATTTTTGTTTTAATTTCCACCACTTAATCAGATAATTAACCGTTCGGGTGGTTGGTCAGGTGTTAGTACAGAAGGAAACCTTAATCCGTGAAACTTATGGTGATGTTTGTTAGGATCACACTCAAGGATAACAACACCCTTCTCTTGTGTCTCCAGGCCAAGGAGGAGTCAAATAATTCACATTGTTCAGCGATACGTATAGCCACCAACACTAGTCATGCACTCTTAATATTTATATAACTTCTACAGTAAATGACAACAATTTAGTTTCAATTATTAACCATATCTAACTATAATATAACATTATTCTCAAAAGATAACGTGGCACCTGTCCCTTTAAACCTGTAACAACGTGCTTCCATGATGCTGTGGCATTAGTCATTTGATAATATACTGTATTATATCTTTCAGGTAGGTTCAATATTTCTACATCTATGAGATTATGTGCATGGTTTACCTAATTAAGTGATATCTTCAATATCTTACATATCCTCTTCGCCAGTTGCTTTGGCTCATAATAAAAAACAATCGATCCAAATAAATAACTTACACCTGTTCATATCTTTGTTGTGGTAATAGTTTGGGGAATTACTGTAAAATATGTATTGAGAAGAATTGCAAAAAATAAAAATATATGTATATGGTGTTAGGGAAGAGAGATATAAAGAATGATATATGATATACAGTAGATAATTTAAATAGGGCGACTAACACCAGTGGAATAGTTTATGTAGCATTTAATACCGTCTCCTATACTAACTTAAAATATATTAATTTTCTTCAATTGTGCCAAGGTAAAGTTTGCTAAAAGGATGAATACCATTATTATTAACCTCACTTGATAAGGTATTTAAACCCGGCGGTGAGTGACGTCATCATCAGCTGACTCTCGACGCACATCAAAACAAAGCCAGAAATGAACGCCAACACGCAGGTCCTGGAACTGGTAGGTTTATATGCCCTATATATTTACTCTATACATATTTATTGTTGTTGATGATGAGTATTAAACACCAAAGACCTACTAAATATATTATGTGATTTAGAAAGTGAATGGAGAGCTTGGAAAAGGAAGGTAACTGCTAACGTTTAGGGTACCAGAGGAAAAGTTGAGTCAAGCATTAGTTGAACAGGTGTAATGTGGTTTAATCTGCCACCATTCTTTGTTATTGTAAAACTGGTGTACAATGTTACAAGTAGAATTTGGAATTTCATGTATGTGCTTATATACAAATAGTAGTACCTAGTCCCATGTGAACATTAGATTTAGTGGCTGATTTGTTTTCATTCACTGGGCCCGTAATGGTCCTAATGACTAAAGACAAACCATCACTGAACTAGGGTACAGTAAGTATGTTGCCTTGTTATCAATCTCTTGGGCTGTTAATAGCCTCAGTTGAGATATATATAAATCATCACTAAAATGGCTAACTCATTCAAGATTCGTTATTGTAGTGTGTATTTTAAAAGAGGCAATATTAATTACAACCCAATAGAACCTGACTTAACTGGTAAAATTGCAGATTACAGCAACCAAAGAATCTGATAAAAAAATGTGTTAACCTAACCTAATGTAATATTAGAAAATTATCAAAGAAAAAATAGTTCTATCGATTAGGTATAGTGAATTTCCGAAATTCTGTGATTGCTGTTTACTGCAATATTACCACGCAACCAACCAAAGACATTTACCTAACTTCCTAGGTGGGGCTCTGCCCTCAAGACCCCTCACTTTATTAAACATAAAGTACATAATTATGATATCTGGTACCAGTGAAAGCAACTTTGTTGAAGCGCAATGGTATAATTTTACCCTTTTTGTGGGCTTGACGGTACGCTGTGAACGATGGCTCGGTTGTAAACAAACAGATGACATCTAGTGACTTGGCAGATTTTGAGGCGGAATCATGTACAAGGCACGTAGAGGCACTATTTTAGTGTCATAGGCTCAATTTCCCTCATTCTTCATGCCATGCCCACTACAGGTGATTTATGATCGTAGAAGAAAAATTAAAATTTTAAAAAGGTATATTTTAATTAAAAGTTCGTCTCTTAAAATACCTACTATAATGATAAGAACATGTGGAAAACATGAATGAAATTGAACAAATCTTTTCGGTGGTAATGCTGTTCTCAGAAATTACGATTAGTTTTTCTTATGGTTTTCAGGTGATTTGAAAGAGTATGGCTATAATTTTCATTGCTGATGACCCCTTTACCACTACCAATGACAGTGGTTTCGTACACAACCACACGTTTACTAGTTCTCCAGAAAGTTTGTTATATAGACAAAATCAGGTTACAACAATATTGATGGATATTAAGTTCACTAAAAACATTTTTGTGGGATATTATATTCAAATCTCTTTCATGTGACCTTCACATAATCAGCTTCGATCAATAAGAGTTCAGTACTTTTACTCATGAGAGAATTATGCATTTTTCAAAAATTTCCCCTGGAAATATTCATTCATGTTATGGCTTCATCATGATGAACACCAGAAACAAGAAGAGAATCATTTATTGCTCCTCCATTGGACTTTTTGTAGGTTAGGAAAGAGTAGGTCAGGTTTTCAAAGGTTTAATTGTTTTTTAATTTTTAGTGTTTAACCCTACATTTTCCTCATCTTCAAAGCCCTGCAAATCATTGTTATATCACCATAAATATAAATCGGCAACAAAAATGAAAGTTATATTCTTTTAAATCACCGTGAAAATTTTATTAAAATTCTATTTTGGTTATTAATTTCCCATTATGGGCATTGATGAATTTTTACCACTAACTCTTCCTGCCTATGGTATGCTCTGCTCTGGTACTAAACTGGGTAATTCATTCTGCAAACACCAGCAAAAAATTTTAGCATGAAAGGCAACATGTTTTTAATGTAGTTTTCAATGCTGAATATGGAAGTGATACAGTATTTGAAATTTGGGGAAATGTACAATACAGTATAATTATTGAGTTATGACCTTTCCTACTCTGTCAGTCTTGACCTTACCAAAGGTGGGCAGGCCTTTGAAGCAGAAAGAAAATACGGGATAGGTAACTAAAAGAACCTAACTCTTATGTAATACAGTAGTATATGGTAAATTAGATGAAAGAAATTTATTCTATATTCTTATACAGTACTGAATTTCATATCATAATTGTGTACTGTACAATAAAGGTGAACAGTTTAAAGAGAAAATGTGGAAATTAACAAAAGTTTGGCAGTGTGGATATTGCCGTCAACACAGGAGACAGTGAGCTTAGCGTCGGCCGACTGACGAACAGCATTTGTGCCTTTTAAACATAACAGCAGGAATTTAAGATGATGCAGTAACTCATCAGGTGTCGAGTGTGATATTCCGTTGTTGTTTTTTGTGAGAGTACTGTATGTATATACAGTATCTCCAACTGTAAATTGAAAATCAATACTGTACTGTACAATACTACAGTTATACATTACAGAGTACTGTATATTTGTTACAGATATCGGTTTAATGTTTCATATTGTTCACTTAGTTAAACATTTTATCCAGTTTCTCATAAGTACAGGTATAAAATTATTTCTGTATTGCATGTACATTACTTCGCTAATTGTGTTTATTATTGGCTTTTGATCACTGTGCAAAAAAAAATGTTGGTTAAAAACATGTTTTGTTGCTTTTTACGCTGTTTTGGGTAATAAATATTTTGTAGGAACATCTCAGCTTTTATAATGGGAGTCTTTTGGAAAATGTGATCCAATTTACAAAAAGAATCTATTTATGAGAGGTTTTCAGGAATAGAACCATTTTGTAAATCAAGGAATGCCTGTACAGTAGAACGTCAATTTAAAGCGATTCAATTTAAAATTATCGATTTAAAGCGACACCCACAATTAAGGACAATGTATTAATCTAAGGTGAATCTTTCCTATTTTACGCGAGTCAATCTGGCGTGTCATATGGAAATAAACACTATTTAAAATTTTGCACCAGACGCGTCTCTGGGCATGCTTCACGGCTACCCGCCACCCTCCTACACCCTCATGCATCCTCAGTTCTCGTGCTGACGCTCCAGTGAACGGACATATTGTGTGACACTATCTCCTTCTACCATGTGCATCAACCATCGCCACTATGTCCAAGAGGCCAGCTACTACATCATTAACTACCCCAAAGACCAAAAAATCTAGGCAAGTGATTACACTGGAGCAAAAAATCAAGGTGCTGGAAGCACTGCAACGAGGAAATAGTGCTTCAAGTTTGGGGCACCAATTTGGACAGTGATGAGCTGGTCTAGTTAAAAAATAAGTTGAGAGGAAAGTGAAAGTGATTGGCGAGTCAGACGAGAGGTGGTTAGCGTCAGCAGGACCACCCTCTCATATCAGCTGATCGCTAGTAAACAGACCATTTCGCGTCCCGTAATTTTAGCGGTGTTGATTTACGAGTTTGTTTTAGCATACTGTACTACAAAAAACAATGTTTTGTTAATTCTAGGAGATGGGGTGAGATGCATCTGGGTAGACTCTCAGTCTTTTCAGTATTTCGTGTTTCTTAATTACCAAACTAAATTATTCCATTGAAACAACACTTCGATTTAGTGCGAATTCGGTTTAAAGCGACCTCTCTTGGAACGTATCTCGTGTTCCATCGACGTTCTACTACAGTGTTAACAATAAAATTACCCTATCATTCCAAAATAATGCACAGTATTCCAACGCCTATTAGCTAGTTAGAAAGTTTCTTGAAGCCACAATAAGTTAACGTTTCACTTGGACATGATTGGTGTGGCATGCTAACCCCTTGCCTGGTAAACAAGTGATTAACTCTCTCTGGTGGCCTATTCCATATTTTTAAAGGGTATAAAAAGGAATGTCCTCTTTCTCTTCAGGACGTGGAGGGTAGACAGGTGGATGAAGCAGTATTAAGTCTGTTCCACACACTACTGTTTCACCGAACCACAGGGAAGTTCCACTACAAGAATGATGACACATATGCTGTTGGCACCATTGGTTTCCAAGATGTGGACTGCGATTTCATTGATTTCACTTATGTAAGTAAAGGTGAGGTCATGGGAGGATATAATAGCCACCATGGTTGTTCAGTGTGTGTTGGTATTGACTAATTTGGGGCTAAAAGAAAGTTGATTGCTGCTTTTCAACAGGTAAAGGAAATAAGAGTACTGTATTAGAGTTGATTTTTAACATTACTAAGAAAGGCTTGTGAAATGCTCGCATTTAATCATTTAAAGTTGATTTCTGAACACTTCATTGTTGATGACAGTGATACAGTGTTAGGAAAATAATGTGTAGATCAGTTTTTTAAATCTTAATTGGATATGAAAAAGTTCATTATTAAAAAGAAAACATCTGATTCTATGGGTTTAGAGAAGAATTATTCCCTCAACTAGAGCTTTTGAGCATATAGTGATGTTGTTTGTCTGTCCATCCAAGGCAGATTCGATTTCTGCTCGATATCTTTCTAAGAATTAGATAGATCGGTTTACAATTTGGTGGGACATTCTGTTGCTGTTGAAAACATTCTTGAATTAATTTGTTGGCCTTATGTTATCCCGTACAGTAAACCCTCGATAACTCGACACATATGGGGCTCTGGCCTTACCGAGTTATCCCAAATTCCAACTTATCGAGGCACTTCCCCCCTCCTACATAAATACAACAATAAAAAATTATCAACTCATAGATGTGTACATGTAATTACGAAATGTAAAAAGGTAACACTTACCAGCACTGCAGGCGAAGAATGAAGCATCTTAGTAGGTGACACAGATGCATGGTAGGTAATATAGGTGGCCAGATATGCCGAGATTTTCCCAGATAATTTTATATATCACAGCATTTCCCGAGTTATACTAGTACATTCCGAGACCATATCCATTCCAAGTTATATGAAATGCCGAGTTATCGAGGGTTTACTGTATACAGTAATGTAATTATAGAATTATAGGTAATGTTAGCCCGCTGCAATCACCTATGTTGTTATATCCTTAGTATATTTGTTGTTCACCTTTGCTTCCTTTGATAAATGTGTAGCAATTGAACAATCTAACTTGAATTGTTTATATTCCAGGTTAATTGTAAAAAAAAATTAAGGGAAAATAGTCAAGAAAACATTATAAGCATTTAAGTACAGGATAATATTGTTGGTTACATCTCTAGCACCAGGCTGTAGCCTGACTCACCTGGCATATTGCATCAGCTGAGAGAGTATGATGCATGCCAGAGTTCCTGTACACAGCCTTGCAACAAGAATCTCACTGTCCATAATTTAATAGCATTATAAATTCTTAAAGTACAGTACTTTTGTGTTCATATATGGTACAGTATTAATTATGATTATTTAGGCTTATAATAATACTACCCTATACTGTACTACCCTTGAAGTACGGTAAAAATTTACTTCCCTGCAATGCATCCCCTTTTACAACAGTTAAGTCTTTTGGAAAGTACCACACACAGTTACCATACATTATTTTTACCTAACATCCTGTTTTCTAGAAACACATCTACAACATAAATACAGTAGTTGACTTAGTGTATACAGTTTGACAGTAGTATCGGTATACCTTTACAATTTATACGACTATACAGTATAGGTATCGGTATATGTTTTATTAAATGAAAAGATAAAGATATAAAATATTTGTGCACCAATACAATTTTCAAACAACTTTCACAATGAAAATATTATCATAATAGGTACGATGTTCATCAGAGGAGCTGGACAAGAGCATCCGTCGTGACGTGAGTAGCTTCTGTGAAGCCATAAGAGCACCTGATGCTCCACCCAGTGGCCAGGTACAGTATGTCAGTTTGTCTAATCAGTATATCACACTAGAGGATTGTGCTTACTGCAGAATATTTTCTGATTAAGTCAGTAATTAGGTGATGGATTGGGAATTAATCTCCTGTACAATACTGTACATAAATACAATGTGAGTAAAAACAATATATCATAAAAGTACAGTACAATGTAATAGAAATCTGAGGATAACATAAAAAGTCAATTGACTTAACTTCCATTCTGAGGGGTTTTATTTACATAAAAATTTCAAATACTGTATTATGCACAGAACCCAATGTGTAATGATTTACATTTTCATTATTGTCTCTACATGGTGTGAGATTGGTAAAATTGTGAATATCTGAAAGTTTTCCACTTGTATTAATTATGGTACCAAAGGAAACAGTGTGTATGTACAACTGTTTCTGCTCCTTATTTTCTCCCTATTTTAAACATACAGTACAGTAGTGTTCTAAAGCAATTCAACGTGTGTTCTGTGGTCTGTCTCCCGCCCTCTGATCTGCTGTATTATAGTTCTGCATTTACCATTATTGATACTATGGCAAGACCTACCAGTTTCTTAATTGGAAATGGCTTTTCCTTCATCATATACAGTACAGTATATGGTACAGTCTCGTTCAAGATTCTTCAAACACTGCTGAGACTCCAGGCATTTTGTTTACTATAGTACGTAGTAAAAATTATGAATTACTGTAAAAGTTATCGGTGATTGGTTACTTAGTTCCCCATTGCTTAATTAGTGGTTGGGCTTTGTTCCTTCGAATTATATTATACAGTATAGTCTCGGTTTACGCGATCAATTAAACCCGTGGAGGTCCGCGTAAAACGAGAAATGCGGAAACGAAATAACAGAACATATGGGATTAATTGAAGTAGAGACTGGGCCGACCCCCAGACTACCCCTTTTTCCAACAATACGTACGTTGTAGTAAAAATAACATCTTAATTTTATGATGGTATGCACACACAATTAATATTTAAGAGAAATATCATTAATATTAGGTTTTTTAACACTTAGGTTAGTAGAAGAGATGGTTGGGCACACGGGGATGGGGGGTTGGTTCCGAGGCAGAGGACAGATTATTGGCCCTCACTTGTATCACCTGTATCACTATCCACCACAGAGGCTTGCAGGGCCTCTTTGTCAAACCCCTCAAAGTCCATATCCTCACTATCACTGACTTGGGCTGGCTGTGGTGGGTGGCAGGTGAAGTACTCGGTAATATTTTGTTGACTAGGTGACCTAGTGCGCACCCTGCCCGCGCCGCTTCCCGAGTAAATGATGGAATGTACCGCGTAACTAATAATTGCCGGTCTGGCCAGGTGCCGCGTAAATGACTAAACGCGTAAAGGAAATCCGCATAAATCGAGACTATACTGTACAGGGTACTACGTACTATTGTAAACAAATGGCCTTGAGTTGCCAGCAGTGTTCGAAGAATCTTGAATGAGACTGTACATGTGGTGTAGCATGTGTCAGAATGCCCATAATATTTGGCAGAATGCGAGAGTTCACAGTAGACCGCAGCCATACATTACCGGTATACATGTAGATTTTCTTGCATTGTAAGTTTGGACCACCTTTAGAAGAGCCCCAAACTTATTTCACCCGATGATTAAACACACTAACCTAACTAATCATCCAGTATATTCAGCATTTCATTACCCTTTCAATATACTTTCAGGTGTGCCTTTTTGTAAAAGATTTTCCAGTGTTTATCAAGGAATTAATGGTCCACCCCTCAGGAGAGACCCTTAAATTGCAGTTTCATATTTAATATATGTACAGTAATATAAAATAATTTTTGAACCATTACAGATATTGTGGTGGCTTATATGATACCTGTATCTTGAAATTCCAAAGCTTTTATTTATACTGGTATTTGTTTTAAGAATACGTATTACCATGCGGATGTTTTTGTTTTCCAGGTTGCCTTAGAATTTTACCAACGAAAACGTGGCAGATGGCCATTTGCAACAGAAAGTATTCCTTGGGAAGTTTGGACGTTAAGAGTTAATGTGGTGTCTCTGAATAATGAACATGGTAAGGAGGTGCATTCATTTCAATAACAACTTTAGATGAGCAGTTTCTCTGAAAACATTGTAAAAACTAAGCCAAACATTTTTTTATTAAGATTACCACATTTTTTTTTAATTCTAACCTAGCCATAACTCTTAGAAATACTGTATTGTAAATTATAGAGGATGCAGCAGAGTTTTTCCACAATTTAAAATCATAAAATTGTCGTAACAGAAGAATTAGCAGCTTAGACGGGAAATGAGTTGAGGAGGGGGTGATACTGTATGTACTGTACCTTATACTGTGTTGAGCATGAAAGTCTAGAAATAGTCTGTTTTGTTGGCAAATACAGTATAGGTGTAAAAAACTATGATCATATTTCAGATTTATTTAACTTTATGGTCGCAGTATACTGTAATATGGCGATGATTTTAAACTGTTGTCAAAGATAAAATCATAATATAGCAGATAACCACATTAAAAGAGGTTATGACAAGTGATGAATGAGATGTACATAGCTGATGTGATGGCTTAGCACATTATCTTTTGACTGAGTAATAAATCCTATTTCCAGGATCATATTTTAAGAGTTTTGTTTTCAACTGGAAGGTTACCTAATGACATGGATTAGTCTCAGCCATTGTTAGCTTGGGAAATTTTGCATAGTAATCCTCTAGATTTTGTGGAATACGGTACAGTACTGCATAAGTTGTTAGGATGGATATAGAGTCGTAGACTGTTTCTGTTGGTAAATGTGGTACATATGCGAGTGTTTTTTATCGAATGTACAGAACTAGTACTGTAACTGCTTTTTGTCTGTTGGAAGGACTTTAACATTATATAGTACCATACTGTAGGATCTCGCCAATAACGACTTCCATAATAACGTTTTCGACATTAACGGTAAGTTACAATAGATACCCATTTTCAATAATAACGTCTGGATTCTCTTGAATAACGGAGATTAGATTTCGCGGGAAGCGTCTGAGCGCATCAATGATAGCGTTTGTTTGGCCACCATGTTGATGATGTAGTTGTCCGCTCTGCCTCACTCTCACTCTCACACACGCTCTGTGGAATACAGCGCTGCGCCCACGTGAGATTTTCGCCTCTATAACCAGTGGTTGCGAGGGTCGGTGATCAACAATGGCTTCCGTGTTTTTGCCTATGGGTCTGGGGGAGGTGGTGGAGGGAGTGATTTGCCGCCTGAATGCCCGGGAACTTTTAAAGTGAATGAAAAAATAGACCCCAAAGCTAAGAGACAAAGCCACAAGAAGCGTGCCTACTCGGTCACGGATAAAGAACAGATTGTTAAGCTCATTGAAAGTGGTGCACAGAACATTGATATTGTGAGGAAATTGAACTGTCCTGAGTCTACAGTGCGAAATATTAAGAGGAACTTAGAGGAGACCAAGAAGAGCATTGCGCTGGCTAAGAAATATTTCGGTAGTGATGGAAATGCAAGGTGAGCCGTGAATGATAAAAGTGATAGAAACAGGTTGTTAGTGATAACAGAGCATTTTCTTGTGAAATGGTTAGCTTGTAGAATGAAAGACAGTGCAAGTGTTAGCGGCCCTCAGATACGAGATCAAGCACGGGTATTGTACGCTGCTGTAGCTCGAAAGAAAAACATTAAGTCTCCCCCTCCTTTCAATGCCTCAGTAGGGTGGCTGCATAAGTTTAAGATTAAAAGTGGCACAAAGTATGCAAAGTATCAGGGTGAGGCTTTGTCTGCTGACTTAGTGGCTGCAGATTCCTTCCCTGAAATTGCCAATCAAATCATTCAAGAGGGAGGTTATAACCTGGATCAGATTTTTAACTGTGATGAGACCGGGTTGTTTTGAAAAATTCCCCTAAAGCAACATTTATATCTTAGAAAGAAAAACATGCAAAAGGTGTGAAAATGGCAAAGGATCACTTTAGTGTCCTAACCTGTAATGCTTCAGGTGACTGCCTCATGAAGCCTCTGGTGATCTACAAATATAAAAGACCAAGAACTTACAAGGGATGTGATATGTCCAAACTGAATGTCTACTAGGAAAAGACAAATAAAGGCTACATGTCCACGGAGTTATCAAAGAAGTGGTTTGATGATTGTTTTGTTAAGGATGCCAAAGAATACTGCCGGAAGAAGAATGTAGCCTTCAAAGTGGTGCTCTCTCTAGACAATGCCCCCAGTCATGCACGATTTCTAGTAGGACGTCACCCTAGCGTTGAGGTTGTGTTTCTACCACCAAAGACAACCTCCAAAATACAGCCACTAGACCAAGAAATCATAGCGAATGTAAAGTTGCTATTCTACAAATATATCCATGACAAGATGAGGAAGGAAACTGATAAGCAAGAAGAAGTGAAGGAAATTGCTGAAACTGTGAGCAGTAGCGAGGAGGAGGAGGGTCCACCCCTCGCCGCCTCCGCTACCCCGCCTGGCTCACACACCGCCTCCGCTGCTCCGCATGACTCGCCCACAGCCTCCGTTACTCCGCCTGGCTCACTCACAGCCTCCACTCCTCCTCCTAGCATACCTTCAACCTCCACAATGACTGTTACTGCCTTCTGAAAAAATTAGAACATTCGCCAGGCAGTCAATTTCTTTGTAAAAGCCTGGGGAAATACTACGAAAGCAACCGTTAGGCATGCCTGGTCGGCACTCCTGCCACAACTCAAGTCTGCCGAGACGAAGAGACAGCAGCCAGCAGAGTTAATGAACCAAGTGTTGGAAACCATCTGCAGTATCCCAGCCCCAGGATTTCAAGAAGTGACTCGGGAAGATTTAGAAGAAATGATGCAAGAAGGTAACACAAATGACGTCGAGGATCTCCTGGAGGATGAAGAAGGTGGTGAGAGTGGTGATGCAGCGAGTGATGCAGGGGAGACCGAGCAGAGGAAAGTGACGACACAGAAGCTGTCACTCTTATTAGGTGTCTTTACCAGCCTTCAAGAGATGATCCAAGACATTGAGAGTGAATCAGGTGAAAGGGAGCACGTGATTGGAATTATAGAATCTATTTCAAGGAAATACCAGACGCAGTACAACGAGCGAGTGAATGCCCGGCAGCAGTCACTCATCACTCGCTTTCTTTCACAACGCCGGCCAGCCGAGGAAGACCAACAGAGAGAGATTGAAGTTGATGAAGACATTGATGACATTGGGGAAATGCCTGAAGATTTTGACTTTGCGGGGTTTGATGAAATGTTAGCGGAAGTGTGTGAACGGGGTGCGAGAGGCCAGCACGGGTCGACGCAGTAGCCTCCATGCCCAGCCACGGAACAATAAACACACCAAGCACCTCAAAAACTCCCCCAAGCTACGGGTAAGTGTTATATTACTCAAATTCTTTATTCTGATGATTGAATAACAAATCTTTTTATTTCGGCAAACAAAAAGTGTTACACAGGGCTTCAAAGGGGAATAAATGGGTGAAATTCTTGGGGCGGCAGCACCAATAAACCCTTTTTACATGTATTTCAATGTCACACAAATAACGTTTTCGCTAAAAACGGCGTTTTTCAGGCACCTATTAGATGTTATTGGCGAGAGCCTACTGTACAATTGTTTTCCTTACGTTTTCTCACAACTGACGGGCGACTCGTTCATTTTTTTTTCTGCCGTCAATGTGTTGCGTTGGAGAGCCACAGTCGATGCATGGAAGTATTCCATAGTTACCCTGGAAAATTCACCAACATTGAAAATGGTATATTTTTTCTGGTGGTGAGGTGGTTATATTTTACTATACAGTACTGTATTGTATACAGTGGACATATCTTCTTTTTTTGGTAAGAATATTAAATTTACTAGTCAATATTCATCAAAGTGAGTTGAAACCCACATATTACTGTACTGTATGATGAAAATAGGTTGTTTCTTGGTAAAACATAAAATATTAAATAACTGTTTGTTTTCTGCGTACAGGTCCACTCATTTGTTGTTACGGGTAAGGATGTTATTTTTGTCTCATAAGTTTACGAACCAATATTTATCACAGCAAGTTGAAATGCACACAGTATAATGAAAATATGTTATGCTACATGCTCAAAACAAAATAATAAATAATGTTTTTCGGTGAAAATCGTGTTCCATTTACAAATACCTATATACATGAACCTTCATGAGGACAGCAACACTGACTCACTAGCTGGCAACTGGCCCCCCTATGGGAGGGGTACTGCTGCCGCATTTCACGCCATGCATTACAAATTCACATAAGGAAGGTTGCAGTAGGTATACAATAACTATGAAAATACATTTTTATTTGTATATCCAACAGAAATATTGTGATCCCTAAAACTGTTTCTTTTGTGTGAAAATTAATTGGGTTTATTTTCCACAGAGAGACAGATATGGCGAGAGAAAGTTGGAGAATCTCTTGGGGAGAGATTACTGCACATAACTGACACTTTGAATCGGCATGATTATATCCCTTCACCTCCAAATCAGGCAGAAATAGATCTAATTTATGACACAACTTACTCAGATGTTCAGCCATTTCTCTTTAAGGTAAGTTGTGATAGTTTTATCTCATGAGGTAGTGTGAACATATTAAGTGGAGAGGAGAGAGAGTGAGAGAGAGAGGAGGACAGTGGGAGAAAGGTGGGAGCACTAAATGGGAGAGTAATGGACATCCAAGGAGAAGCAGTGTGTTTGAATGATTGGAAAGCACAGTGAAGAGTGGATTTTGTGGATGGAGATAATATTGTTTTTGGGAAAACAACTTACACACCAATTGGTATATCATAGGGGCTTGTTAGGGAAGGGAAACACCGTAGTAGGACACATCTTCAATGGGATATAGAATTGAATCACAGTGAATGAACAAAGAATCTGTATACAGTCTCTCCTCGACTTACGACGGGGTTCCGTCCCGACAACCAGGTCGTAAGTCGAAAAGGCGAAAATAATACATAGAAATACTAAAATGGGTGTCTCTTTTTCTTCTAAGCACCTCGAGAACTCTCACTTTTACGCTTGCCAGCCATTTTAAAGGGAATTATAAAAAAATGTCAGTACACAGCGCGATCACATACGTCGGGACTCAAAAATATGTAATGTGAAAAATATTTTATACAACCATGGCCGTCATATGTCCGGGTTGTCGCAAGTCGAGGAGAAACTTATTATACAATTGGTGCAGAGCACTTCCGGGTAATGAGACGACTCTCTCGAAGCCAGAAAAAATCCCTCGTCCCCGGAATTTTCTGTTAAATATAAAAATGTTCTCGGAAGTTCCAGAGAAATATACCCCATCCCTGGAATTTTCCGGGTACAGGTAGTTCTGCTATAACGCGATAATTGTGTTCTTGTAAAATATCGTGTTATAGAAAATCGCGTAATAGAAATAACAGGGCTTATGGAGAAAATAGGGTTAAGTGCAGATTACTCGAAATCGAAAAAATTTAGTAGTTAGCCTAACACAAAGGATAGCACAGTCTAAATAAATGTTACATTCATATCTAATAATGAAATCATACAGTAAATGTAACACTTTACCTTGAAAAAATATGAATGTAACTTGATGGGGGAGAAGGGTGATTTTGAGGTTGATAACATCGAGCTTCTTTTCAAGTGTTATATCCTTTCTTTTACGATCATCACCGGGAATTCTATCACCAGAACACTTCTTGGAGATATTCTTCTTTACCATATTCACAATTAATACCACAAAATTGGAGAAATAGTAAGCAAAAATCGCGTTATAGCAAACATGCGTTCGCGTTATAGCAAACAAGCATTCGCGTTATACAAATATCGTTCCTAATTCATAAATCGCGTTAGAGCAAATTCGCGTTATCAAAACACGCGTTATAGCAGAACTCACTGTACCGTAAAAAATTCTCAGTACGGTATTTTCGGAAAATTTACCTAATTTTCATCTCTCAGACCCGGAAAAAATCCCCCATCCTCAGAATTTTTTGGGTATTGTACAGGGAAAATTTTCCTGGAATTTTTCAGAAAATGTGCCCCTCGGGAAATCATTCCCAAAACCGAAATTTTCCGGACAATTCCGGCTTTGGGAATGATTTTCTGAGAAAATTTCCATAATGGCTATCGAAGAGTTCCAGTTAAGAAGGATAACGGCTAATGGAGATATTACTGCATCATATTTGGTTTTACTCTCAGCCAACCAGCAGTAAAGTCAGGAAAAAACTTGAAGGCCTCTAATGTCCAGTTCTAAACAGTACAGTAGTTGCTTTTTGTTTTACTTGATTTACAAAATTAATTGTACAGTTGTAGACCAAATTCCCTGAACACTTTTGGGTCATATATACTGTATATATATGATTGGTTTATATCTAATAATGCTGCTTTTTATCACATATAATGTCGGAACTACAAAATGTAAAAAAAAAAAAAATAATGTAGATAAATAATTGAGAAAATAAGTTAAAATTCCATTCACCCTCACCTAATGATCCTCAAGTACTGACGTGCCAGATACTGCTAAGTTTCCAGGAATTCAGGCCCTAACTGTACGTGCAAAACTCATTTGATGTGTTTAGCAGTACAACCTGATAAGAATTCTACTGTACTTATTTTATCCCACCAGGTAAATTACAGTGTCTCAGCTCCAAGTAATCCATCAGCGACAACTACATTCAAGAAACTGATAAGGGACACTTTAGCACTATAACATTGGCTCTACACTAGGTTACTACAGCTATGGTCCTGTGCTGCGTGCAGAACATTGTTCACTGAGGAGGATTTTGTTGCCTTGGTATCCTAAGGCTATGAAGCTTGGCAAAGCACAAGATGCTCTGCAGTGGGAATTTGGAAGGAAGTTGGACGTCCATGAGAAGTCAGTATATATGTGATCTGATGGTAAACCGTCATCTCGCTTCTTCACAATGAGTTTACCAGAATGATAATTATTTTTAACATCAGGTTTTGATCTTGTACTAATTTATTGTTTGTGTGAACTAACAGATATATATATATATAGTACAGTCTGATGTATTGATAATTGAATTTTGGTAAACTGGATTTTAGATAACTATTAATTGTTATTGAATTTTTTTTAGCAACACTGTGACCTGTGGAAAACAAAGATAATAGTGATATATTTAGGTGCCGATATTTTTCACAGTGCTAATTGTCTAATTGTATGTCCTGTAATATTAATAATAATATTCCAAGTGCTGAAGTAGATGCAGATTACATACTTGCTTATAGATCTTTTATGCTGGAATCAACAAAGTACTGTATGTTATTGTACCTGCTGTTTTGACAACTCAGCAGATATTGCATTTTCACTTATGAGTCACAAAATAGAATATAGTTTAGCTATAAATAGCAAACATACCATATTAAAAATACAGTAGCCTGTTTCTCATCTGTTGCCTGGAATTTTTGTGCAGAAGTAAATACTTTGACAAAATCTTCAAGCCACAGGAACTGGCTAAATGTTTTAATCACATGGCCCACTAAGTGGGGCATGTGCTGAAGTGATTGATCTATATTTTAAGTAAAAGTTATACATATTTCATAGAAAGTTTGGTATGAGGGATTATAAGTGGTTGAGAATGGCTCATACAATGAAACCCTCCTTTTACAGTTCAGCTTGACACAAAATCATATATCAGCCATCCTACATTCTCACAGGGTACTTCACCGAGTGAACTTCATCACATCTTCATTTCATATGTGGTCAGACATCTAGTGTCTTCACTGTGACAGTATGCCCAACTGTTTTCATAGGTTGAGGTGTGTCACTTGTGTTATGACCCTCATACATACATACTTTTATTAAGCTATCAGCAGGGATGGCCTAGAATGGCTGAAACATGATCACTTGAGGACCATAATGTTTCTAGTGGAACTGTGTTGCTCCTTATTCGTGGTTAATGATAGAAACAAGATTACGTAAGAATGAATACATTTAAAGGTGTTGAACATATATGAAGTGTTACTCAGATTGTGTCACTTATAATAAGGTTATAAAATGAGGTTGAATAAATTATAAAATTATTTGATACCTAGATATGGTTGTAGTAATCCCAAATCTAGAAGAAATGTGTTAATCATAATTTGTTGTAAAAGGCAAAGGGGATAAATGTCTAATAAAGTAAAATCAGATGTATTCACTCATTATTGTATTTGGAGTACAGTACCATAAGTCTATCTTGTCCCTATAAATTTTTTTAGCTCTTTTAAGTGACATTCACATAGTTTTGGCGTGATGCACTTTGTAATACTGTAATGTTGTGTGTTAAAGGGCAACACCGAATATATGAGTTTCTTTCTCATTCATTTTCTATATGTGCCAAATGTGTCATTAGGATCACATAACCTATTTTTTCTGAATTGTTGACCTGAGGTTAACAGTGCATCATAGTCTAGCTTTGAACATTTTGGTTCTCAGGCTTTAAATTTAATATGGAAGATGAGTCTTGTTGACTTTGCTAGGTAATTTCTGTCCGTGACTCTTATTAAGAAATTTGAATATCTTTTTAATTTCATTACTGAATCTTATTAAGGTTTCCTGGAGAAATCTATCCTATATATGTAAGGTTTTTAATTTATTACTGCCCATAGTAAGCATATGGAAAGATTGACACATTACACATTTAAAAAGGTAAAATCATACTCTTAACATTTTGTTATCTTATACAGTAACCACAACACTCTCTAGTAAAACAAAAGGCACTGAAGTGCTTGTTATGGAAATAAAATATTTTTGTAAAGGCAACAATGTATTTTGAATTTCGGAATTTCATTGGAAACACGATCCTTCTACCCCTCACACACACGTGTAGGATGTTATGGATTCAAGTGCACCACATTATTGCATCCATGGCCTATGCTCCATCTGAATGCAATAATCATGGGTGTGAAAGAATTCAGGGATATTTTATGTATTCTGTCTTATGCAAATATGCAACATCTAATTTTGCTGTCGCTATATTTTATCATGCCATAATGTAGAATAATTTTAAAATTCAGTAACTCCTTGATTTCCTAGCTATAAAAGTTAACACTTAATGTATACCATACAAGATGCTTGACGTAATGGACAAAAGTTGTACTTATTGATGTGCAGATAAATTTAATATTCACTGAAAACTTCTTTATACCTCGAGTGGCATTGGGAAAAGTAAAATACTGTATGCAATTACTGTACGTAAATCTAAAAATATTAACCAATAGAGTATTAACTGAGCATGTGATAAATTTGATGGGAACCAGCTTCTAAAGTTCCTCTTGGAATTTGTGAATGCATGCACTTGCTACAATGGCTTCTGAACAAGATCCCCCTCCCCCACCCCAAGATACAACAAAAAACGAAATGCCTACACAAATGGCAAAGGGAAAGGATGTGGCTTGTAAACATGAAACCAATGAATCATCTAATTACCACATGAAAAGATAGAGGAAAGTACTAGGGTAGCCCACGTCTCAGCTTTCAAGTGGGTTGAGAAATAGAAGTTTAGGGTCTGGAATATATTCCAATTGTTCTTGTAAGGAAGGTGAAAATATTAACTTACGGGTTCAACATACACAGTATTTTCCAGGAACTTCGTACCCATAGAAATAAACAGTTTGCTGTTGTGTACGTATCAGGAGAGAGTTTTAGTTACTGAGTAAATGAAGTGAAGCCCAGTCAAAGAAAAACTAACAAAAGTTATGTAGGATGGCATATACTACCAGTACAGTAAATTGTATAATAGGAAATACTTTTAGATAAACTTATTTGATGACTGATGTGTACAAATTGTTTTATGTGGTAAGTTGTTGAACTTTACAAGTTTTCATATATTGAAGAATATTCTGGCAATAAGATCTAGAATAATTCTGCTTAGCAGATAATTACAGTATATCCCCAAATGCATTAATGAGATATTATGAAACTGCACCACAACAAGAATGGCCTATACTTCTTGTGAACACAATCATTCTTGATGGGGAGGACAGACTTTAGTGAAACATGATATTGCCTCCCTTTGAGCTCAGATGAATTCAGTAACAGACACGATCTGATATTTTAATGAGGGTGTTCAGAATTTATTGCTTGTTTAACTCCAGGTAAACAACATGTGGCATCTAGTCAAGGTTAGAGCTTGTTTCATGTGCTAATAATTTTTCTATGTAATAATATTTTTCTCTACCAACCATTTTCAAAGCTTATTTCTGAATTAACAAATTGTTTGGTGAAATCGTACAGACTTGCATTCAAACAGAAACTTCCAGAATGTTGAGAGATTAGAATTGGCTATGTTATGTTTCTTTTTTCAGCCACTTTGTTTTGGATGAGAATAGAACATACTGTATGTACTGTGGCTCAGTGAATTAGTGTTCTAATAGGATCTACAGGTTTATAGGGATACTCCTCATGAAACAAATTTCTTTTATATCCTTGAAATCTTTAAATCTAGTTAATTTACATACATTTTTCCCTCTCAATAATCATCAGTGAATTTCAGTTCTATATTCAAATGCCAATCTTTCTAATGTTGAGAAATGTGGGTGGATATTATCTAGCAAAACTATTACAGAGAGATTATTAGTATATGAAGATAAGAGGTAAAAGCTGTTTTTCAAAGTAGCATGATGGTGTGGAGGAAAGCACAGCTACTACTGCTTCTTAATAACAGTTGTTTGCTGCCCAGTTTCCACTGTACATATGATGTCTTCTACCATTTTTATATTACGAGATGTTCAAGTGTTACATTTTATAAGTACAGTACTGTACACACGTAATGGAGGTAATTAGAAATTAAGAGTAAAGTCTTTTGTAGTGTTTTATACATAAATGTTAAGCTTTTTATATTTTTTTTGGCTGTTTATTTGAAAAGAATTAAAGCTTAAAGTAGTTTCTCTACTAGGTGTGAGTATGCCATCCCACAACATGCTACAAAAAAGGGTTGGGTCATATCAGTAGTGTGTTAACATTTCATACATTCATTCATAACAATGTACTTGATCCTCAACTGGACATGGTACCAGATGTCTGCTATGTCATTTGTTAATGCAAGTGGTGGAATTTTTTGAGTGGTAATGTGGTGTAACAGAGAATGAACAAGAAAAAGATATTTAACATTCTTTAATACTGAATTCATAAGCTCTGCTTTATCCAGATTTGAAGAAATAATATCTATTATGAAGCAAAAATTCAAGTTATTACTGGTTATACAACAGCTTGTAATATTCCCGTGCAGAGTTAGTGTAAGAGACTTAGGTTGTTACTATTGTGTTATTAACAAAGTGTTTCAACGTCTTGTTGTAAAGACTTTGCAATACAGTATGTGTTTGAGTGTGAGGCCTGACAGGCAGTTACAATTAGCACATTGTTAATTCAGGGGTATTGAAAACATCAAGATAATACAGTATTCTGTCTTCCATTTTAGGAAAGACTTATGTTGTTATGAAAACTAGAATATTTACAAGGTTAGTCATGTTACCTTAACTGAAATTTTGAGCACTGTACTGTATTATTACAAAAATATTGCATTGCCAGTGAGTCTCTTTGCACTCATGTTAGAAAGTTGTGTACAAATAATATGAAAGTTTTACAGTTTATTTTCAAATTAGAGTAAAAGATAATTCAAATTATATACCCTGTACTGTATTCCTGAGGCAAGAACTGTAATATACAGTAAAATAGCCAAGATATTTTGTTCAGTAACAGTTTGACCTGAAGATCATCTGGACAGGTTCACAATTCATGAATTTTTAGTTCTTAATTACAGGTTTATATGTTATATGATCAATAAGGTGTATAAATGGCTGGTTTCACCGGTGCTGAAGAATTCTGTACAGTAAACCCTCGAATAACCGACCCACAAATTTCCACCAATTGTTCTTACCTACAGGTGTAGGCTGCAAACCAACAGCTCTTGCTATCTCCACAGCTCAGTGTCCTTCTTCAGATCTCTTTACCACATCTAATTTAACTTCTAATTAACACTTTCCTCTTCTTTTTGTGACCACAACCAGCAGTGTTGCAAAATGCACATTTAGCACTCATTGTTCTAGGGCTCAAATAAATTTATAATTGGATTTTAAGTGAATGTTGTTAGAGCATCAACCAACCACTGAACAATAACAAATATGTCGCCCACGCTGGTCGCTTACACAGCTGATTACCTACGTACCAGTTTAAAATTGTCGTATATTTATCATTTTCATAGATATTTTAAATTTTTTGTAAAGTACCTCGATTATCTGACTTACAGCTTTTCCGACCCTCCCCTCCCCTCATATACTGTAGGTCGGTTAAATGAGGGTTTACTGCATCTACAGCATGTAGTCATAAATATGTTTAATAGTTAACCATCTCAACTTGACTTACTAATAAGCAGTTATCATCACACTGATGTAAGACCACTGTGGATGCCTCTAAGTAATGATTAAAGATTTTTCCTCTCAATATCTAAGATGGGTATATATTTTTGTAATAGTAAATTAACCTCTTTATTCTTCCCTTTGGTTTTATCAGACACTATTAAATAAGTAAGCAAGGGAAGAAAATGTAAAGATGATTAGGTAACACTAACCTGCAAGTTTTAAGTACAGTACAGCAGTAACGTGCATGTCTCACCCATATGTCAAGGGTTCGAGGCCTGCTTGGCACGGGACATGTAAGAAGGGTGTTATCCATTGTGATCCAACCAAACATCACAGGTTTCCTCCTGTTCTAACACTGGATAGACCAAATGCCTGAACAGCTAGTGAGCCGAGTGGTGAAAATATCCAATATGTATAGAGTTCGTTATTTATGTCATTTTAGGCACTTTACATAGGTACTGATATCAGCTTGTGGCCACAATACTCATGGCTCATTCTCAAAACAGCTACAGCTTTCCCACCATGCTAATCAGAAATTGGTTTTGTTTAAAACATCAGATGCTTCTGAATACATTATATACAGTCACCCACAAAAGTTCTGCCACCTCTCCTGCTGTTCCACAAACCCTGAGAGTCAAACTCATGAACCTGAAGCAGTAGACACTGGTGCATTACATGTATTCTGTCCATAAATGCTTCGGATTCACTAGTGTGAATTTCAGAGATTGTGGTTCTGAAGAGGCAACAGGACTTTTGTGGGTGCTGTATCTCCTTTGCTTATCCATCAGTACTGTAATTATATTAGTGATTGATATTTCACTGATATGCAGTAAATTATAATATACGAAGAGTAAGTTTACATCATGTAGTTGTCTTCTAGCAATGATTTTATATTGGATGGAGACCTAAGACTCTGCCTTCCTTGATGTATAACTTTTGCCCTGTTGTCTGCTGAGTATTAATTATTGTTCAGTAGGTAAACTACATTGATGTCACTGAGCAGAGAGAAGTGTTTTGAGATGGCAAGTTGGACAACGAGCAAATTCCTTACAGTATGCAGAATTTCCTTGGGGACTCAGACACAGTAGAACCGCTGATTAACAAGTGGATATTGCCGTACTGCATTTACAGTTTTGATATGTTTACAATTTTGCCAGTGCACGTTAGTGATTAATTTCAGCTTTCATGTTCTCTATATCTCGGATAAAAAAGAAATAGGAAAAATGCTTGAGTTAATGTTAATAACTCAAAGAGGCAAAGTTAAAAGAAAAAAATTGTCTTAAATCTCATAGTGCAATGTAAAATTTGGTACAGTATCTAACTATATCTTTTATTTTAATTTATGAAACACTGGAGTCAGTAATGAACTTATTCAACATTAGGAGCTAAATCTCAATGCCTTATAAAGAGTGCAAAGCTAAACCTCAAGCCTCTTAACTTGGTCATCACTGGATAATCTTATACTGTACTGTACAGTACATACTGTATACTGTATGTGAAATTTCATGTGAGTGTTTAAGACATCAATACTTAGAATGCACAGTACTATCAGGGAAACTTATATGATTGGTCTATAGATGAATCATTGAGACAGTTGATCAATAAATTTTGGTTTATCTATATGCAACAAGTTAACTATTGAACATGCGTCTAAGTTGTTCAAGATAATAGCCATTAATGTATCACTTTTCATGTTATGCAAAATGACGTACTTTGATCAATAATATTTTATGTATGCATGATTTGTATGGGAATGTTGGCTACTGATATTTTCATTTTTTACAAGGATTACTTATTGTGTTAGTCATATTTGTAATACCCAAGGTTAATTTATAGACTAAAATAGGGAAGACATGTAGAAATTGATTCTAAACTATGTTTTCTTTATCTGAATTTAACCCAAACAAGTTTCATTAATATTAACTTCATTATACTGTATAAAGATGATAAATAGAACTGAAAGTTGCACATTGTAATATTCTACAACTATACAAATAGATTTTCTGCTTGTAGTTTAATTAGTAAAATTAACACAGGAATTTTATATTTTTGGGTCAACATAGATGAAAAACAAGCCACTATTTTCAGTCAATGTTTTCCCACATTAATATTTCATACACTTATGCAATAAACCTTTTTATGTGGTCCTCTGAAAAAAATAGTAATTTCTAGTGATTAAAATGTAATTGCAATGATTTCACAATACATTACATACCCGGTAGAGTGAATTACAGTATGAAGGTTCTCCTAGTAACTCATTCTTTACACAGCTGCAGTGTTGCTGATAGTATTTATTAATACCTCATAACATATAACAATATGCCACAATCTTGTTAACTGCACCACCACTTACTACTGCTAGAGAACATTTTGGGATGGCTTCAGAGCTTTAATATGTTGAATACAATCTTGTTATTAACAAGCCTTTGATTTAAAAATTTATTTGTGTATATTTGATTATAAGTTATTTTGTGAATAAATATTTATTTGATAATCCTTGGAGTTTTCTTCTGTCTGCCAAATACTGCAAATCAACCATAGTTCAGCAAATTGGATACCCAGCAACCTACAGTCGACAAATGTATTTGTTCATGGACTACCCCCTAGATATTGTGGAGGATCTTATCCAGCAATGAATTTGTAAGATGGATAACTAATTTTATATTCACTAGTTGCTCATATATTATGAATTTTATGGAATTGTAATCTATACCACTAGAGTCAAATACTGTACTTCAAAATAGTTGCATGGTTTGGAGATAATTCAACAAGAGACCTGTGACATTCCATCATTACCCACTGATAACAGAGCCTACATTGTCCTGGGAGACATCAGTACAGGAATTTATGAGTCAGGTTCTTGTGCTATTAAACTGGTGTAATTGCATATACATAATCCTTCCCTAAAAATAGCTGTCCTGACCCCTGATCCTACACTGTACTATCCATCAGAGAGTGGGTTGACGTAAGTATTGAGATTAGGGTCTTAACCCTCTCAGTCTCGCAAGACGCCATTGTGGCGTTGAACATAAAAGGCAAAAAAACTTACGCTCAGCCTCGTGACGCTGATTGGGCTATATTTTCAAATAACTCAAAACTATTTAGTGAAACTGACTGAACTTTGGATGCCATTTGACAGACGGCATTTTCCTTGTGTGGGCCTTATCACCTTTCCCAAGATGGTCTTGGTCATCGTGTGCAAGGCAGCACAGCATGAAGCCAGTGTCGCTCGGCCCTTTAATTATTTCATGAGTTTTTGTGTTATATTATTTTTCCTTATACCACAATATTCTACATGCTTTGTTCTTTATTTTGGCATATTAGTACATATCAATGAACACCATAATACAAGGAAAATGTGAGTGGAAATCGAGATGTTACTAAACATTTTCCTACTTTTTCAACTTATACGAGAAAAAAGTGGCTTAATTTCAAGAATTTTATTTTTTTTTAATTTTTCAGACAATTTTACACTAGAAGAGACCCAATTACAATTAATAAAACAATTCAATGGCAGTGAAATGAGCCCTATTTTTTTTTTCAAAAATTTTTTCAGCAAAAACCTCCAAGGCTGAGCGAAAGTTTTCATGCATGTATGTGTCTCAGGCTGAGAGGGTTAAAAAGTAGGGAGATTGGGGTAAAAAAATGAAAGGAGATGGGAGATTAGGGTAAAATAAAGTACTGTAGTGAGATGGGATATTGGGGTAAAAAAAAAAAGGTTAGGATATGGTAAATTGGAATAAAACAAAATAGGATGATGGGATAACAGGGGTAACAAAAGTAGGGAGATTGGGGGCTAAAAAAATATATATAGAGAGAGAGAGTGGGACCCCTGTGTCACCCCCTATCAGAGGCCTACATCTGCTGCTCCTCCTACATACATCATACTAGACTTTACAACTCATAAGATATGCTCAGGTTAAGATATTAACCCTTTAGATGACAAAGTAACCTTTAGGCATTTTATTCTGGTTAATACCAGATGATTTTATTCAGCTAAAGGGTGAAAGAACAATAGCTTTATTGAAACCATATCTGAAACCACACCTGTTATAATCTTGTTATTTGTGTTTATATTTTGTGGTGTGACTTAATTTGCATAATAAAGGTAATGGTATGAAATATCTCAGGCAGTAGATATTTCATTGTGATAGACATTTCATGTGGAGTCTGAGTAAAAAAAATGTACCGACAACTGAAGTGCCAAAGATTCTCAAAAGATTCTTTAATGGCCTGTATTCTGAAAGGTTTCTTATGATGATTTTTCCCTGAACTGATTCAAGAGGTGGATTCATAAAGGTTTGTATGAGATAATTTTCCCTTGCAGTGTTCCCAGATCTAGCATATTTTCATGCTTTTAACAAAATTTTGACCCAATATTACAGCTTGGCAAATTTGTTAGCATAATTAAACTTTTAGCATAAATCTGGCATAATTTTGTTTAATCGGGAATAAATCTCTTTCTTTTTTCTTTTATCCTCTTTGCCACTGATCGGCTCGTTAGCTGCTTGGGCGGTCAGTCATGTCTCTGTTACGCACTGTTGGCAAGTACTGGGCATGCACTGGCTCCTGAATATATCTGAACCTGCTCCACTGCTGGTCAAGTCTGGTCTTGAAACAGCTTACACTTGGTGCCGTCACAACACTCTCTGGCAGGTTGTTCCAAGAGTTCACAACTCTCACTTCGAAATAGTTCGCCCTCACAGTTTTCTTGATTTGTGGCTTCTTCAACCTCGAGCTGTGACCCCTTGTGGGGTGGGTGTCTGCCAGCTCCAGGTATGGACACTCAACTGAGTAGTGCCCCTTGAGATGTTTATACACTGTATACCTCAATTAGGTCTCTCCTTGCCCGTCTGTAGTATAAGCTAGGTAGTTGCAGGCACTCTAATCTCCCTGGGTAGTTGAGGTGACGAAGCGCAGGCACCAGTCTGGTGGCCCTCCTTTGGACATTTTCAATCAAGTGACAGTACTCCAGGTGAGGAAGCACCTCACTCTTGAAGATCGTTAGGAGGGATATCTGAACGACCCTCTTATAAAACCTAATAATTTAGTCGCCTGATTCACCTTCTCACAATGGCCCGAGAACTTCAGTTCATTGTCAACATACACACCCAGGTCCTTTTTGCATTTAGTCTCTATTAATGCAGTTTCTTCATCCTGTTGGGACATATGATATGCCTCCTTACCTATGGTACATCCCAGGTGCATCCTCTTACAGTTTGTGACATTGAATCTTAGCTGCCATTTCTTTGACCATTCTCTAAGCTCAAAGAGATTGTAGTGGACGTCTCCCCTACAAACTGCGTAGCTGCACACCACCTGCTACCGTCTTCCCTAGCAACCAAGCGTATCCGCATTCCAATGCCCGCCGTATCCTAGCAACCGAGCCAAAAGGCCGGCGACTTCTCGGGTTTTCCCAACATGACTCATAGCGGCTGCTGGGTATATAAGCTCTGTCTCTCCATTGAGATTCATTCTGACCATTCTTCTTGAACAAGCAACACCTCCTCCTCCGCTGCTGCCTGGCAGCCCTCGCGTCTCCTCGCCTGCCTGGCGGCCCTCGCTCCCGCCAGCGAGCATGGCGACCCACCAGCTGTCCTTCTCTGAGCTTCCTCACCAACCAACTCTCATTCTGCCCATCTTCCTGAACAAGCATCTCCAGCACCAGACTGTCTTCATATAACTTATATATTATACAAGAAAACCACATTAGAGTTTCCTTCCATCCTGAGTGCTAGACAACATTAATATCTCGATACCCCTACAATGGTGACTCCCGGAGATTAGCACTCACACAGGATGGAGGAGACACTGATCACGCTCCCAGTCTTCAAGCAGACACCGGCTCCTCTTCCTGCCCCACGCACCACATTCTGACGACCCCAGCACACCCGTCCTGCCTCAGACGCCGACCCCGGCCCAGCAGTACCTGCCGTGAGGGAAGCACACAACATCCATCGCCTCCACACCCCCTCTTTTCTCCCTCAGGTACTCCCTGCTAATGTCCTGCACCCTGCTGCTGTCGTGGACCCAGCTGCTGTCACGAGCCCTAATCCGCTTCTGCTGACGCAGCCCCTGCTCCTGACCCAGGCCCACACACACCCCAGCAGGCGCATCTGACGACCCTGTACCTGTCGTGAGGGAAGCACACAATCATCGCCTCCACACACCCTTTTTCTCCCTTCTCCCACAGATAGTGTGTATCTAGACAGTTGTATTTCAGCGATCGGCTCATCACGCCATCGCCGTTGTCTCACATGAGGCATGCACCGCCCGGTCTGCCTCACATGTGCTAAGCAACTCTACAATCAACAAGTCTCCTACACCGCCTGGAGGGGAGGGGGAGTATTGTAGTGGACGTCTCCCCTACAAACTGCGTAGCTGCACACCACCTGCTACCGTCTTCCCTAGCAACCAGGCGTATCCACATTCCAATGCCCGCCGTATCCTAGCAACCGAGCCAAAAGGCCGGCGACTTCTCGGGTTTTCCCAACATGACTCATAGCGGCTGCTGGGTATATAAGCGCTGTCTCTCCATTGAGATTCATTCTGACCATTCTTCTTGAACAAGCAACACCTCCTCCTCCGCTGCTGCCTGGCAGCCCTCGCGTCTCCTCGCCTGCCTGACGGCCCTCGCTCCCGCCAGCGAGCATGGCGACCCACCAGCTGTCCTTCTCTGAGCTTCCTCACCAACCAACTCTCATTCTGCCCATCTTCCTGAACAAGCATCTCCAGCACCAGACTGTCTTCATATAACTTATATATTATACAAGAAAACCACATTAGAGTTTCCTTCCATCCTGAGTGCTAGACAACATTAATATCTCGATACCCCTACAAGATCTTTCCACAACTTTTCACAGTCCATTTGGTTCTTAATTTCCCTAAATAATTTGGCATCATCCATGAACATTTGTATGAAGGAGTGTATAGCTTCTGGCATGTCATTTATGAAACAAACAACAACTGGCCCAGTGCATTGCCCTGTGGTACCCCGCTTGTCACATATGCGCATGACGATTCTGTACCATTAATCACCATACATTGCTTGCGATGATACAGAAAGTCTCCGATCCATGCTAGGACACTTCCCTGAATCCCATACCCTTCCTGTTTAATTTTTAGCTAGAAAAAAACAAAAAGCTCTAGATCTAGCTACAAAGTCGCTAAGTTGGCAACTCTGGTCTTGCCCTCGGTGCCCACCGTTTCTGTGTGGATGTCGGTCACACTAGAATGACCTGTTATAGTACATTCTTCTTTCCTCACACAGCCAAACTGTGGAATACTCTGCTTTCTTCTGTTTCCATACTCTTACAATTTTGTCTCACTTCAAAAAGCTGGTTTCCGACATCTTTGTGGTGTCGATTAAATCTTTTTTTCTTCTATTTTTAAATTCTTTTTACTTTTATTTTTTCGCCCCCTAGGCCTCGTTGTGGGTCGATGACCTGTGCCCAGGTGGGCTATTCCCCGTAAAAACCTAAGTGACCTTTGGGTTTTTATAATGTAAATCATCGTGTTAAATATAAATATGAGGTAAATATTAGTCGATTGGCTGTCCTCAGGTTTTGGTACGATTTTTATTTATTTATTTATTTTTTTTATACGTTTTTCAGTGTTTTATTCACATCTGACCTTCATTTCTTTTACAAATTAGCGGTTTTTGCAAAAAAAAAAAAAAATTAAATTTTTAACAGAAAATACTAATTCTCACAAAAATGGAGGTCAAATTTGAGTAAAACACACCAAAATACAAAAAAAAAAAATACTATTCTCATACCAAAGGAACCAACCCATGAAGGAAGAGGTAAGGAGACAACTGACTAAGTGAGGAGTATAACCTCAGGCAAACGTGGCGGGAACCTGTGAACAGCAAATGGACGAATATTAACCAAATAGGATCTTCATTGCCGTCGGAAATGAGCAGTAGTTGAGAGATTGAAAAAAGAAAAAAAGTGGAAGGTCAAACAACGCAAAAACCTCAGAAAAGCTATAAAAATTTAACCTAATTTAGCCTATCTAACCTAACTCCTAGTATGTAAGAAACTTACCTTAAGTAAGAGATACAGGAAGATAGTGATGCAACTTGAATGAGGAAGTGTCCGCCTCTTACCACAGGGCGATCTACACGGTACTGACATTCTGAATTCCATCTTGGACACTTTACAGATGTAACAAGAACACAATCAGCCCTAAAAAGTCAATGGTTGCTGCTTCTTGCCCAAAATGTCTTAATAATGTGGCAGGCAACCAAAGTACACCATTCTCACACATACGCCAACTTCCAACTGCCCGGCGCCCGCGAATGGAGACTTGTGCTGATTGCCCGATTAGCGAACTGTTAAAGTCAACGACTATACAGAATACGAAAGATAGTAAAGCTCATATGAAAGATAGTAAAGCTCATATGAAAGATAGTAAAGCTCATATGAAAGATAGGAAAGCTCATATGAAAGAAAGCTATTGAATTAACCGAGCGCCGCAAACAGCGCCATCTATCGGCCAGGCACCAAATAAAATCTAGCTCTGAAAGGGAGGACGGGGTCAATCTCAAACTCCACCTCTGCTTCTTGTGTTATTATTCATATCCTACTCACTGACCCATGTTTCCCTTTTCCCTGTGTAATTTTATCACCTTTTTTTATCAAACCTCTCATGAAATATAAATGACGTGTATGAAAGCATTGTGGGATATTTCCTGTTAAAACACGACTATCCCTATGCCATCTGGAATATACAGTATATAAACAACCTTAAATTGCACTTGTCCTCGTACTACACAATATATATTGTATTTTTATGGATCACGTTATGATACTCACGAAGTTTATAAAACCCCTGGGTACAGCAAAGTACATAATTCCTGATGTGGAATGGAATAGGCCATACACCCAGACAGAGAATATCAGTCGAGGGTGCATCTTCAGCAGAGGTGCAAGGTTCCCTCCCTGCCCTGACCACATGAACACTGAGGCAGGCACTAAGATCATCTGGAAGAAAGTGACCCCTGCCTCTCCCACACCCCCTATCCATTATTTTTATATCTTACAAAGTCACTTACAAGTTTGGGTGATCAACAGTGAAGGAGCGAGACATAGGGTACAGATGTACAGACAACTTTGCTTTATTGGTACAGACAGACAGGTAACTCATATTCAGCTACTGATTCACCCTGACAAAAGTGGTGATTATTTTCTTTCTATGTCATATTTTCATACAAATTTGTACATACAGTATACTGATATTTGGACAAACTATCTATTTTTATTAATAGTTAATCACATTTAGAATGGCCAGTGGTATCCTGGTTCACCACTCTCATAATTACTTCCTCAGCAGCTACTCAAAGCACCTTGCCACCTGGGTTCAATAAATAGGATGTATGATTCTTGATTGAAAACTACCTCAGCATAACTATATTTACAACTTCTATAAAACTCCTGTTCTAAAACTCTAAAGCATTTAATTAATCAGTAACCACAGATTCTGTTCAGAATAACAATGATATACAGTATTTAGGTTCGACTTGATATTACAGTACTGTACAGTAGTGTCTTTTGTTCAGTAATTCTGAAGTTCTCTAAAGTGAAGATCCTGAAGGAGAGCAATAAAGTACTCTAAGTTAACTTCACCATAGTTTGGATCAATAGATGAACTAAGAGCTGACTGAAAGGTGGATTCTGAAATCTGAAGGTTGTATACCAAGTTGTAGGTGGCTGCTACGTGTTGGACTTCATCTGCTGGCATAAATCCTGTGGGAGATTTACAAAGCTTACAAAGAAGTTGATAGTGACATCATATAAGGCATGGAATGATGAATTGGGAAGGATGTTACACCAGATTTATTATGACCAAAAAATAATGGCCTCGTTCAAACTGGTCAACCAAGAGGTCAGTATCAAGGAGAAGAACATGTCAGACCAAATTATTCTTATATGAATTTCTTCCAATGATTAGTTATTTTGTAAAGTATTCATAGAGAAATCTTACACAATGGATAGTATATTCCAGAAAATCAATTATTTGGACAGATGCAGTGTTGAACTGCAACTCTTTAGAACAAGTCATGAAGTTCTGTTTGATTGAAGAGAAAATGAATATTGTAGTTAAGAAATAATAATATACATAAGCAGAAGTTGTATTTAAGGAAGAGACCTTTGATCTGTTTGGAAGATATGAGATAGATGGCAGGAGGTAAATCACTATCTTGCATGGAGCTATAGTCGGTGTGACGGATGTTGGATGGTTCTACTTAGTTTGGATTTCTTATAGTTTCTTGCTAGCTTTGGTGCACCTGTTTCAACCTACTGAAGTGGGAACCGAACAAGGTTTGAAGATTGATAAACAGGAATTAAAAGAACAAAAGAATATAATTTATCTCGTATATAAAGAGTGATTTACCTGACTGGTCCTCATCAGCACTGTAAACTGCTTGAGCGAGGTACTGATAGTCATTGGTCCACTTCTGTATATCAAAGGCTGGTTCAGGATCCTCCATTGGTGGCACTGGTGATAAGGCCATAGCTTGTGGTTCTGGCTGAAGAGGTAATTGTTCCTCCCTGATTCCTTCTCCATCCTCAATGAATCCTTCATCGGGAAGGAATTCTGTCTGCGTTTGCAGACGCTAGAATATGGGAAACACTGTCTAGAAAGGGCTTATGGTATGAGGACATGGTATTCATCCAAACATATTCGTTTCCTTTAGAGGTAAAGTACAAGTGTTTCCATCAGTTTATACCAGTATCTAATAAGTTCTTTTTCAACTCAAAGGTAGAAGATTCAGAAATAACCTCCACTAACCACACTCGTTTGAAATTTATTTTATACTTCCAAGTCTTGCTTTTGCCACTATTTTCTTCATAAGACATAATTATTTTTCCCTTCCATATACAGTATAAGGTCATCGAAAAGGACTGCCCAGTTTTTAAATGGTTATAGCTGTGCAATATATCAAAATATGGTAATTATTTTTCGAATATCCTGAATTCGGGGCAACGTCCTATTGTGGGAGACTTTCTTCATGACCACAAGCAGTGTGTGTAAGTGATTAATGGCATAAAATCGTTGTGTACTCGTGATTACATGGGTACCCACAGGGCAGTGTACTGGGACTGTTGGTTTTTGTTTGTTTCATAAATGATATACCAACTGCAATATACTCCTCCTTACAAATGTTTGTGGGCGACACAAAGTTATTCTGGGAAATTAAGAACCAAAAGGACTGTGAAGCGTAATAGGAAAATCTCTGCTGGTTTCAGGGGTGGTCAAAGGAATGGCTGTTTAGATTCAAGGTGTTACGTCATGAAATGCAAAAGGATGCACCTAGGCGTACCAACAGCAAGGAGGCGTATCACATGTCCCAACAGGACGAAGAAACATCATTAACTAGTATGTCTTATAAGAAGGGCATTCACATACCTAGATGATCCATCCCTCATAATGCTCTTCAAAAGTGAGGCGCTTCCTCATTTGGAATACTGTCACCAGACTGGTGCCTGCACTCCAGCCTCAGTTACCCAGAGATTAAAACGCCTACAGTTGCCTAACTTATATACTATTGGCGGGCAAGGGGCGACTTAATAGAAGTCTTTCAGCACCTCAGAGGACAAAACTCAGTCGAGTGTTCATACCTGAAACTAGCGAATGCCCGCCCCACTAGGGGTCACACCTTAGGTTGAGGAAGCCACAAGTTAAAAGAACTGTCTCGACATTTTCTTTTTTTGAGTGAGAGTTGTGAACTCTTGGAATAATCTGCCAGAGAGGTTTGATTACGACACAGAGTGTGAGTTCATTTAAAACTAGACATAACTAACACTGGCGCAGGTACAGATACATTCTTGAGCCAGTACATGCCCTGTGTAACAGACATGACCGACCGTCCAAGCGGCTAACAGTTCGATTAGTGGTGAAGAGGATAAAGTAAAGTAAAAAGTAAATACTGTATCTGAAGAGTAATATGTGATAAGATGAATCACAGCACACACCTGTTGTGGGTTGTTGTCCCACGGCGTGTTCAGTGTTGGCTGGTTCTGGAAAGCTGGCAACTGCCCCACTCTTGGGTGACGCGGGTTATGATTATTACCTGAACAAGAGAGGAGGAGGAAGAGGAGGAGGAAGAGGTGTTCATTGAGTGTTTGAATAAATATGAAGTCAGTCATTCGCTCCTGCTATTTTTCCCCACTAACAACTTATCTTCACTACTATTTTTACATCTTTTAACTGTTGTGTAATTTATTTCTTCTGGGGACAGTGACCAGTAAAACATTTCTCTTAAACCACAAGGAATTTCAATTTATCTTCTCAGTTATCTAAGCTAAGGCCCCTAATTAAACATTTACTTAGTTAAATGTTACACTCTTGTATTCCTAGTCCCCACAGCTGATCTTTCTCTATACAAATGTCATCAAATGGATCTATATAGCCTCTCTTTGAAAGTTCATTTAACATTCTATAACAGCAAATTTCTTTATTCTTTGATCTAACGGCACTTTTAACTGTACAGTATATACTGTACCTGTACTGACTCACTTACAATTACTGCATATTTGTATTATTCAGCACAACTCCAAAATAAAGACAAAAAACTTCAATTATCAACATCATCATTATATTGTATATATTTACCCATAACAATAGTATTATGAGATTCAGGAATGACCCTTGTTAGGTAGTTCATGATGGTTTCAATCTTGTAAAGGCCAGCTCCAGTACGATCAGTTGCCAGAAGCAACCGAGCTTTGACGTCTGGTGTCAGGTGGAAGCCACATTTTGAGAGGGCAATTTGCACCTGAAATGAGACAGGAAATAATTTCTATATACATCATAAGCTCCAATAGTTCATTAATATCTTCATTCCCTGGCGATGGGACACCTGACCACGATGTCTACTCTCTGCCTGCTTTTAATTCTTAAAGAATAAAATTACAATCCAAGTTCTTGTATAATTGATAACATGTTACTAGTGGACAAAAGGTGTATCTCCTATCAATTATCTGGGGATCAACTTTCATGCCCAGTACTAAATCTATGAATTTTTACAACATCGTATTGTTACAAATGACATTGTACATTAACTTAATTATACTACATACCCTGTAATTTGATATAATGTACAATGTATCTTAAAATTTTATTAATCTCTGTAAAACTGAAGATTTGTTTATATTGTACTGTTTATATTGTATTGTCTAATGGTAGACCCTGCTGACATATGGCATTACGAAAATTGTGACCAAGTCCCAGGTTACTGATCTATCTTTCTGCCTCATTTACACACAATTGCAGGGTCTCAACTGTCTCTCTTACTATTGACAACACAACAAATATAATCGGACTCATTCTTGATCTGTTTTATTCTCCTATGTCAGTTGATATCAGTATTGAAGCGGGGCCTCTCGGATGGGTCCCACTGGTCGGGAAGGTTGTGGACCCCAGGGCCAACCTGATCATCATCAAGTTACTGGGGCCTCAACTGACACCACCGCGGTTGCTGGAGGATCGGCTTTTTCACTCTTAATTTTTCCAACATTCGCGGCCCGAGATCCAATTTTCCTTCTATGGAGCACCACCATCTATTAACATCTTCCCCCTACCCCTTACTACTTTCCGAGCTTCAACTGACCAAAGCAGCTTCACCCAAACCTTTTCAAGTCTCCAACTACAACCTTTATACCTCCTTCCGTTCTAAGGGAGGTGTATGCGTCTACTGCAACACACGTACACCCATAGCTCGACTCACGGATCTTGATACTTCCCTTTATGATGTCATCTGGCTCAAAATATCTCTACCAACTGTGAATATTTTTCTTTGTTTCCTATACTGTTCTCCCAACTCTACCAACTATTTCGAACTCTTTGACTATCTCACTTCTTGCCATGAGTCGTTGCTATCCACACACACCCAACACCGAGATCCTTTACCTAGGGGATTTCAATGTACACCAGAGAATGGCTTGTCTCTGCAAGGGATGACCCAGGTGGAGCTGAGGCACTCTCTTTTTCCCGACCTAATGATTTTGAACAAATAATCAAACACCCTACACGCGTTCCTGATCGACACGACCAACTTGCTAACATTCTTAATCTTTGTTTTACCTCTAATCCCTCACACTATTTATATTCAATTTCTGCCCCCTTAGGGTCTACAGATTACAATCTTATTTCTATTAAATCAAACTGGGCACGACCACCTCCCCCACCCCCCTCTAAACGTCAACTATGGCACTATCGGAGGTCAAGCTGTCAATCCTTGCGAGAATTCTTCACCGACTTTCCTTGGGGTGAATGTTACTTTTCCACTCGGGATGCCTCGGTATGTGCTGACAGCATTGCTGGGGTTATACAAGGTGGTATGAATGCATTTATCCCATCTTCTACCAAAACTTTCACATTACAATCATGGTTTGATCGCTCCTGCTCTATTGCAAATCAAACTAGATCTGTTTCTAGAGCTGATATCATTACTGCCATCAACGCGGATCTGTGCAGCATCTCTGAATAGGGAGGTAGAAACTTGATTAAATTCAATAGTAATAAAACTCAGTATTTACCAATAACACTTTCCAAATTAGATGATCTCCCACCAATCACATTTCAGGACGCTATCATTCTGCCAAATTTTGAAATAGACATGCTAGGTCACACCATTTCCTCTAATATGTCATGGAAGCCACTCATCGTTAACATAGCTAAAGCTGCCTCCCGAAAGTTGGGAATGCTGTACAGATGCCATAACTACTTAATTCCTGAGCAGTTGCTTCAAGTATAAAAGGGATTCATTCGTCCTAACTTGGAGTACCGCTCTCATACCTGGGGTGGCTTTCTTTTGTCCAACTGTTAGATAGGGTGGAATCAAAGGCATTTCGTCTTTATTAACTCTCCTCCTTTAGTCTATAATCTCTCTTCCCTTTCTCTTCGCCGCAATGTTGCTTCACTCTCTCTTTTACAGGTACTTTAACGAGAAATGTTCGGTGGATTTGGCATCCTGTGTACCACCGGCAAGGCAGTGGGCTCGTAACACTCGTCTTGCCCGCGGTGCCCACCGTTTCTCTGTGGATGTCGGTCACATTAGAATAGCCCGTTATAGTACACCCTTCTTTCCTCACACAGCCAAACTGTGGAATGCTCTGCCTTCTTCTATGTTTCCATACTCATACAATCAGTCTCACTTTAAAAAGCTGATTTTCCGGCATTTTCGTGGTGTAGATAAACACAGTATAACCTTTTTCTTCCTTATTTTTAATTTCTTTGTTCTTATTTTTTCGCCTTGTTGATTTTTATAGATACAAAAACAAAGTGATCGCTAGCTTTGCTTGAGATTATCCAAGGCAGATGGACAGGTTAACATAAACAGTAGCCAATACCACCTGTCTGCCACTCTACCTGTTGTCCACTAAGGAAGTCATTCCGATCACGATCAAGATCATACATTGTTCTTCTGAGGTCAGCCATGTTGACGGGTTTGTCTTTCAACTGACGTTCCATATCAGCCATTAACTTGCCTTCATCTCGGTCGCTGAAGAGAACTCTGAAGATTTAGGATAACGTGTTAGGGACAATCTTAGTAGTTATCATGTAACCCAGTTAAACCAAAAGAGATTACAATACCTGGATCATATGAGGTTTAGACAACTTAGTTTATTTTACCTTATGGAGTAATGTTTAAACATTCAAACATTACTTAGTGGGGAATATATTAAGTTTGGTTAGATGAGCATTTAGGGTGTTTAGTGCTAAGGTGAAATAAGCTGGAGTGCCTGATAATGATGTCATCCCAATATCTTTAAGGGTAAACATGAAGAAGTATTGGAACTAATTTACTATTTACACAAAAGTAACATTGTCTTTTCTTCTCTTTAAACTTGTGCCTCCTCTTCTACCCATCTCTTATGTATATTGGTCACCTCAATTTAGTAATTATTCTTCTGAAAATTTTGAACATCGTGTAACAATCTTTGATACTTGAATAAATGGAAAGTTAGGATGAGTAAAATGTTTTTTCAAGTAAGTAAGTAAGTAAGTAAGTAAGTGTAAAAGATTGCACAAACCCCACATTAAAGGTCGCTAGACTAGACATCAACAAACAGCCACATATTTAGGACCTTTCAAATACAGTACAGCTAAATTGAAAATATTTCGTGAGATAAAATGTTTCGAATCACCTGAAGATTATCCCCCTCCTCCAAGCTTATTTCACCTAAGGATTAATCACCCTAACACTATTTTTGGGGGGTGAGGAAGGTTAGGTTAAGTTAGGTTAATCTTTTGGTGGAATAAACTGGGAGGGGGAGGGAATCTTCGGGTGATCCAACTTTTCGATATTATTTTTTTTTAATTTGTTGCTGCCTCCTGACCAGTGAAGTGGATTATGTAAAGATTAATTAAAGCTCAACAAAAAAGTTCACACGCCAGGAAAGCTTTGGAGATGATATAAAAATGATGACTTACGTGTTCCTTAGATTGACCTTACGAGGCTGTGGTGGCTGCTGCTTGCCTCCTGTTACACCAACGGATCTACAAAAATCATAAGTACAGTATTACTAAAAGTTTTAATAACAACACACATCCTAAATGCTATTCGTTATATCGTTCACTTTACTACGAACAGTACGGTATGGGTCTGACCTCTGGTTGATCATGGGTGGCGGGGGTTTGAGAGCTTCCATCCTGGACTTGGTAAGATAAGTCATCATCTCCTCATAGCGGACCATCGGCACACGATCACCTGCTTCCCCAAATTTTTTACAAATGTTCTTCAGTCCATTGTCAGTCAAGTGAAGCTGTAAGCGAAAACCTTCATGATTTATCAGATAAAAAATGGGTAAATCGTAATGTTTTTCCTATACAGTACTGACTTATATTTTTCTGTCACATAGACCGACACACACGTGAACAAACAACCATGCACACACACAAAGTAAGACACAGTGTTAGGTCCTGTGTACAGTACACTAGGTTAAACCCCTTCCTGAGGATGAAACAAACTGCAAGCTTAGTAACTTGTACAGATAAAGGCTCCACGTCTCTTAGCCTTTATTTACTTGTTAACAAATGGGGGCAACCAAACTCCTCTTCCAGTTAAGTGTAAATCTATTCACGCGTTAAACAAGATACATATTACACACAGTCTCTGGGTGCTGACACCTGTACAAACTATGAGCAGCTCCTCATTAATGACACAGGTATGAGTTACCTCCTACCCCTCAACTTGGCCAAAGTTTTCCTTTATGTGTCTGGTCTTGGCTGAAACGAATGTTAATCTAATTTTAAGATGAACTCAATGGCAGCCATATTGAACTTCTATGTAACAGAAAAAGAAGTAAATTAAACCTATCATCTAACGATTAGTAGAGAATAGTTCTCGTAAGTTTTGAGATGATTAAGCCAATGACACAGAGGGATCAGTGTTTAGAAAATGTTCAATACCAAGGTCGGGGATAAAAATGGTACTAAAATGAGTGAACCCATAGAGAAGCATGAACAATTCTGAAAATATTTTGTGAAAATGTGACGACAGATGTAGGAAGAGAAGCGGGATAAAAACATAAAGAACTGTGGACGCACAACACAACTCATTATCGGATATTTTTTTTAAGTGTTTTTGTTGCATATATTTCCTGGAATAAAAATAAAATTATGCAGACAAAAGTGAACTGTACCATGTTAAAAGACTTTGGTGTAAGGAGAGACAAATGATGTACAGTTATACAGTAGAAAGAGAATGTGTGTGTGTGGGGGGGGGGGGGCGGTGTAACAGACATAGGTGTCATATCCCCACTGTTGTTGACTAACATCATGTACAGTAATTTATAAAACCACCTTGTTAAGCTCTGTCAACACAACACGAGAGTCTGACGGCTCACCTGGAACTTATTCAATGTGCCCTTGACGGTATCTGTGGACAGGATGCCGTCTCTGTCTCGATCTTGTGCCCTGAGGTTTATGAGCAGTCCCTGTAGGCCTCGCTCCGGTAGCTCTTTCACCTTTCTGATAACTTCATTCCTGTGAAAGATCAAATGAATCTTTTAACTAATAAGACTCAAAGAACAGTGAAAAAAAAAATATTTTTTGTAAAATATAACTTAAAGGTTGATATATTCCTACAAGAACACTTCTCTCGTCTCCTTCAGAGGCGCCAGACTGTACTGCAGAGTTACCACAAGCAAGACTTTCCTCCTCCCTGCAGGACAAGTTTGAATACACTTGGTTGGGTTGTTTACTTAACCTTGGAGTTACTGTATGATTAACCTAACTTAGTTGTATGATCCTACTTGGTGTTTGGTTACCTTACACTGACCCCATAATTTCCATGTTATTCAAAGTGTCGCCAACTTTTCAGAAGACTTTAACAAGTTACAGTGGATACAGCATGTCCATCACTGATCATGGGGAGGAATAGGAATTACACCCATGTAAGAAATGTTCACTAACACATACAGTACCAGCGGTAACTGTAGCCTTCACTACTGAGGGTCTACAGTATATGAGCATCCTGTGTTTAATGTAGGAAATTATCTAATGGTTATTCATAATGAGAAATTAAAGTGGGTCCTATTGGTATGATTGTCTGTTAGAGACAGTGGCCAGCACTGCACTCGACCAATTTCACAACCCCAACAGCAAAGTTATGTACCCACAGACAGCACTCGCGACCACTACGATAAGAAGTGTGTACAGCATCCACAACACATTATAGAGTCAATGTCAATAAACAAAGTTCGTGTATAAATTTAAACGATAATTCAAGACACTTCAATCCAAATTTCTGTATATGATAAATAAATCTAATGCATATATTTTAAGTTTATAGCAACTAAGCTCTGTGTTACAATACAAACCTTTTACAGATTAATCAATACACATTACACGGTAAAACTCGCCAGGAATTAATAAGATCTTACTTGAGTGATATATCATCCAGCTCCGACAACCCGAAATCTTGTTCTTTTTTCCTGCCAGAGTCCTTGATGGGGGGGAGGACGGAGAAGTTGCCTCCTCTGGGTCCTGTGTCCCCCGGGCGCCCAGGTGGTGGACCCGTGGGCGCTGGCTGGCCTCCCGGTCCACCACCAAGAGTAGGTGCCCCCCGCGACCTCTGTCTCACCACCAGCGGCACCCCACTCGATGACACACTGTGTACGGTGGGGTGTGCCCTATTCATGCGAGAACATTATAAATAGGTTAATTAAATTGTAAACTTGCGGTTTTTTATGTAAATTTTATATTTATATAGTTTTATCTCATGGTACTATATACGTGTAATTTTGGATCACCTGAAGATTAAACACCCCAGCATATTTCACCTTAATGTTAATTACCTTAAAGCTAACCGACCTAACCCTCTGGTAGCGTTACGGTGGTTAATATTCATGTAAAATAAGCTGGGTGTCTAAACCTCAGGTGATCCATAGTTTTTAATATATTAATTAAATCGTCAAAGACATCAACGGTCCAAAAGATATATTAATTTGGAAATTAATATCACATTTAAACACAAACTCAAAGCATCGTGCAGCCCAACGTGTTAAGGTGCTCACAACACAGAAGAACATCAATATTGTTTTGTTTTAATGTTAGGCTCGTGTCTTTTAACTCAGGTTAAATGCATCGTCTAGTAAACACAAGTCATCAAACATCACATCTAATAAAGATACAAGTCTCTGGTTTGCTGTAAGTCTTTCCAAGGTGAAGTTTCAGATGGTAGTGGGGACCAACTCATCCTTGAGAGCAACGCCCTCTGTGTGATGGCCTGTGTTGCCTTCAGTGACCTTTACGGTAACCATTTTATTGGGTTTGTAATACAGGCATTGGTTTCATTATTCACGGAAAGGACATATTTTGGGGCGCGCGGTCTACTCACCAGAGACTATGAGTATAGAAAGTGTTTGGCCTACTCGTCTCTCAGTGCAGACACCCTGGTGAGACCACTTTAGAAGACCATAAACTTATATGGGTATTAATACATGAAAGGTGTGAGAGGGAAAAGTTGAACCACAGCAAGACTCAACCAAACCAATGGCGGTGGGGGAGAAGTCGGGAAAGGGGTACAGAGGGGGACTATATATATATATATATATATATATATATATATATATATATATATATATATATATATATATATATATATATATATATATATATATATATATATATATATATATATATATATATATATATAATGCAGTGAAAATGTTAACAACTTTTCATAAACAAGTCATCTAAAGAAATGGTCCCCCAAGATTTATACTGTACGCTAGATCTTATCTCTAGAACAAGAAAGAAAACTTTGGAAACCTAAATTCATCTAATACAACTATACTTAGGAGAAAATCTATGTGCCTCTTCACCACCACCACGTATTATCAAAACTTTTACACAACACGCATGTAAGTGACCTTGTAGGGTGTAGACAGAGGAGTGTTTAAGAGGGGCTGGTCGAGGCTCTAGTCTAGCCAGTTGACGGCGTACCATGTGTTTCAAATAGCACAATGAAGACCTTCCTCGTAACCACGCAGTGAACATTGGTTTTTATCCTGGCAAGAGATTAAAGACGGAATTCTTTATAGATTTCTGACAAAACTTTTATCTGGAAATTTCACTACGAAGTGCTTGAGAATCATTTGTTCCACAACCAGATATTCCCGCTGTTACTAAAGCAGCCATCAATATCCCTTACATATCACCGTCACCCACATAACACCCGTTGACACACACTCTTCCCTAACTCACACATAAACACTAATTGGTCTCAAATTCACAACGATCCTTAAGTTAAAAAGATCCATCTATTTACTGAGACGTAAAAACATTAACTAACTCACATATAGAAAAACTCATATGGCCACAAAAATCATGTTCAATTTACAATAAAACTCTACCACCCGTAAGTAACTACACGGTCCCGTGACTCGAGCTATTGTGGAAAATAAAACCCCACCAACTTTACTAACAAATGGCCCACACACCCTCACCACGACACACTGCTGCCACCCACGACAATAATAACAATTCAGAGCTACAACTTCAATCTGATACACAAAGTTTATGACATTTTACAACCACAACTATACATTGTTTCTCAAGACTAGTTATCCCTTCAACTATGACAGAAGGAGAGGTTGATAGTTGTCCCAAATTATAATCGTTAGTTGAATGGTGATTTAATGTTGGTTCAGGTCGTCAATATATGCACTGTGTTGTGTGAAGGTTAGGTGAGTGCAGGTCAAGATGGTGTATTGTATAGTAGGTAAGCTAAGTCACGCGGGTCAGGAAAGGTAAGGTAAAGGTAAGGTAAGGTAAGGTAAAGTAAGGTAAGGTGGGGTAAGGTAAGGTAAGGTAAGGTAAGGTAAGGTAAGGTAATGGTAAGGTAAGGTAAGGTAAGGTAAGGTAAAGTAAGGTAAGGTAAGGTAAGGTAAGGTAAGGTAAGGTAAGGTAATGGTAAGGTAAGGTAAAGGTAAGGTAAAGGTAAGGTAAAGGTAAGGTAAAGGTAAGGTAAAGGTAAGGTAAGTTAAGGTAAGGTGTTGCAAGGTAAGGTAAGGTAAGGTAATTCTTGGTTACAATATATACCACTATAACAACCTCTCCGGGGACCTTGATACGCAGGTACTCACAGAGTCGCTGTGGTGGGTCAACACTAATGAGACGGGCGGGCGGCGCTACTTAACACACCCAAAGAGAGATCAACAACACCACACACACACACACACACACACACACAAACACACACACACACACACACACACACAAACACACAATACACACACACACAAACACACACACACACACACACAAACACACAAAACATGCCACACACACACAAACACACACACACACACACACACACACATGCTTGGTGGTAAAAGTTGTGATCCTGACCTACCTACGACCTCTTGACCCCCCCCCCTTTCCCTTTCCCTTTGTAACAGTAGCGTTTTGATGTTGTTTTTGTTAAATATACATAGTCATGCACACACTAGCTCCCACCCTCTCAGGTACAACGCCATCTAGTGCCCGGATTTGCGTTACCTTGTCTTGGTGTGGGAGGCTCGAGTGAACGCGGGATGGGTATAAAGTTCCCATTATTTAAACCTAAATGAGACGTTAGAGGTGGATAGTCGGTAAACGGGATGGTTCTTTACTACAGTGAGGTAGGTATAAGTGACCTCTACTGAGACATCTACGTTTTCTACACCGTGTGAATTAGACTTCTTGATGAGGAAAGGTTTTTTGAGGGGGAACTACTCGTATTACAGTAATTTCATCTTTTACCTTTGAACGACCATGGTGTGTGTGTGTGTGTGTGTGTGTGTGTGTGTGACAGTATTAGCGTCTTTGTGTGTGGGTGTGGGCATGTATGAACGTGTTTGTGTGCGTATGTGGGTGTGTGTGCGGGGGGGGTATATATGAACGTGTTTGTGTGTGCGTGTGTGCATGTATGAGCGTGTGTGTATACATGTGTGACAGCATGAGTGTGTTTGTGTGCGTGTGGGCATGTATGAACGTGTTTATGTGCGCGTGTGGGTATGTATGAACGTGTCTGTGTGTGTGTGTGTGTGCGGGGGGTATGTATGAACGTGTTTGTGTGTGCGTGTGTGCATGTATGAGCGAGTGTGTATACATGTATGACAGCATGAGTGTATTTGTGTATACGTGTGGGCATGTATGAGCATCTCTGTGTACAGTATGCGTGTGGGTATGCGTGTACAGGTACTTTAGGTTAACTTAAATTTGACGTTTAGAAAAGTCCCCCTCAAAAGAAGATTAAAAAAACACACACACACACACACACACACACACACACACACACACACACACACACACACACACACACACACACACACACACAGATAAACCATAGCAACACAAATTCAGATCTTAATGAAAACAAAATACAGGAAAACATTTAAGATACAAAATACAGATAAAAATAATAATTATGCAGCTTTTAAGTAGAGGCAAATAAAATATAATTATCATGCTATTTTTAAGTATCTAAGTATAAAAGCCAAAGAGAGATTTAAGTAACTATAAAGTGCAAGGTAAAGTGAAAGTACAGGGTAAAGTCATTCTAAGTGGTAAGTGCATGGAGTGGTAAGTGCCGGGTAAAGTAATTCTAAGTGCAGGGTAAAGTAATTCTAAGTGGTAAGTGCCGGGTAAAGTCATTCTAAGTGCAGGGTAAAGTAATTCTAAGTGGTAAGTGCCGGGTAAAGTCATTCTAAGCGCAGGGTAAAGTAATTCTAAGTGGTTCTAAGTGGTAAGTGCCGGGTAAAGTCATTCTAAGTGCAGGGTAAAGTAATTCTAAGTGGTAAGTGCCGGGTAAAGTCATTCTAAGCGCAGGGTAAAGTAATTCTAAGTGGTAAGTGCCGGGTAAAGTCATTCTAAGTGGTAAGTGACTGTGACCTCCTTTTAAGTGGCTGACATACTCTCTCACAGGTGTTCTGGCTTTATTAATGGTTCATCAAGGTGACCAATACTGTGTGCCTTGGAGCCGTGTTGATGGTGACCAAGGTGAGGTGGTGGAGGAGGAGGAGGGAAGGAGGAGAAGGGGAGGGGAGGAGGGAGAAGGGGAGGAGGAGGAGATAAGAAAGAAAGAAGTAGGGAGGAGGAGGAGAGTTAAGAAGAGAGAGAAAAAGTCAGAATAAGAAAATCTATGGAAATCACGAGGCTGGTGGTTGGGACATAGGTAGTGGCAAGGGGTGGTGGGGGTAAGTAGGCAGAGGTGGTGGGGGTAGTGGCAGGGGGTGGTGGGGGTAGTGGCAGGTGGTGGTGGGAGTAGTGGCAGGAGGTGGTGGGGATGGTGGGGGTAGCGGCAGGGGTAAGGGTAGTGGTATTGGTATTAGTATTTATCATCGTGACGTCGAGTGATTTGACTGGTTGTTGGTGTGGAATGCAGTCACTTGCGTCGTCTACCTGGGCGACACACACACACACACACACACACACACACACACACACACACACACACACACACACAACACCACGTTCTACTCGTCAATATCATACAAAATTCATGGCTGCGTGAATTACTACCCAACAATAACTACCAAAGATATTATTATTATTATTTTTTTTAAACAATGGTATCGTTTAATCTAGCCAATAAGAAAAGCGGGGCGGGGCGGGGCGGGGCGGGGGAGGGCAGGGACGGGGGAGA